AGCAGAGAAACCATCAAGGTAAATAACTTGTATAATGAGGCAAAAGAATAATAAGGCTCAGCAAAAAAATTATCCAAACAGGAATACATATACCTCTGGAAGTACTGTGAGCAGCTCCAAAAATCCTGGCACATATTCAGGATGAGAATTCATCTCATCCCTCAGCCAATTCACGATACCACCATCCCCCCAGTCTTCAGCAGGGACATGCACAGCCAATGCAGCGACCGCAATACTAATCTAGAAGGCCAGGAAGATTAAGCACAATAGCCCTTAATACCATACTGTTAATGGAAAACAAATGAGAATGATTGACAAACGTAACTTGTAATCAATACCTGAGTTCTAACTTTGGGAGGGCCCTTGTGGAACTTTTTTAGTAAGTTCTGCAAAGCAGGGGGCAAAAAGAATAGCCATATGTATTAGAAAAAGTTCTAACGGGTCGATACTTGAACATGTTCTTGTTTGATGCTGTCATCATACGTACCTAACGATACCAGAATTCTCCAGATAGCACAAGATATATCATTAATTTATATAGCATAATTTTCTTTTCTGACTTCCAAATTAAAATTCCATAGCATTTTTTCCAGCCTTTAGACTAATTTCACTTACTCAAATGTCTAATTTTATATCAGTATTTGTTTTACCATGTTCAATCTTTTTATACAATATCCACTTACATTTAACGAATCCCTCAGTGGACGAAATGCTTCAGAAGGAAGTTCCTCAAAATCTCGTTGTACCTATTGAGAACCACAAAAGTCATTAAAAGTCAGAATGCAGATAGAATAACGTGCTCGTCACAACCCCAGAATTTGAAGCCTGGCCTTCTTAACATTGTTGCTCGTGAAATTAAAATTCCATGACCCATGTCTTGTCCGAAGTGTGGTAAATTACCTTGCTCCGAAGGGTCTGGGAACAAAATATCAAGGTTTCTAAATTACTTGTTGGATCATGCAGCAAATTGTCAGCCACCTGTGCAGACAGAAGAAATGAACAAGACTTAAAGTTCCACAATTATAAACTAGTTGCAGACTGTGGTTTTCCTTTATCAAAAGAATAACAAATCCACTTTCATACGAAGCAGACCAAGCTCCAGTGTATGCATGCAGATTTATTCAGTTCATGCGTTTTTTACATGAATAGATGTCCCAATTTTAGTTCGTAGACATTTTATTGAAGTCTGTCGGAGTCTCAGCTATATTTGTTAGATTTGGCTGCATGACAATGGTACATTCACCATCGAGTTCTCATTTCCAAGAAGAGGTCAGCAACTTGATGTGAATTGGATTTTTTACGAGCTGAACTGAAGGATTCTGTTTTGTTCCCTGTGACAAATGAAAGAAACAACTGAATTGCCATGTCACAAGACGCCCCATCATTAATACAAAGTCCTGAGGAGGAACTAGTTGAGCTGGTAGTTGAGGGAAAATTAGTGAAATAAAGCCCAATAATGAAGTTGGAAAAAGTCGATTATATGCCTTCCTCTGATATTGTAAAAATGAAATTTGGATGCACAGATATCCAAGTGGTGAATGAACATCTTTCTGACAAAGTCAGTTGATGGAGGTCTAAGAAAGCCATTTTCCTCCCAAACCTATAGTACAAAATCAAGCTTTGAATTAGATGACGGAAAATGGAACATGTTTTGGTTCCACCAGTTAGTTTTATCAATGCATTTTATTGTGGTCCTTGTATCTTCTCCATGGCAGCACACACCCTCTTGGACAAAGGTTTCGAGGGGAGGGGACTTTGGTGCATGCCAAATCATGGACCAAGCAATGTTTGCATAGGTTTCACGTGTAGCGACATCCAGAAGATAGTAGTCAGCTTGTTTAAGCCTGTTGGAGTCTTAGCAGTATTTTAGTAAAATCGGTTGCATGACAGTTGAAGATAAACACTTGTATTCATTGTGATATTCAGTAAAGTCCCGAGGCTTCAAGATTGCATCTACTGCCACTTGAAGGTTCCGCGGAAGAATAAAAGGTTTTGCGCAAACACAAGTTTTTTTCATGAAAATGGAAGTCCCAAATGTGAGGCTGTCCCCACTTTATCGCTCTTTCCTTGTTCCTCAAGGCCAACGATTCCTAGTACTAGGATCAGCACAGTTATCCGGTAGCTACAAGCACTGATTGATCACAAACCACACCACGAACCACAATGCCGAAATTCAGAAACTAGAATCGAGCTCTCTTTCCAACACCTTACGTGGTGCAGCAGGCATCTTGAGCATTTAAACTTGTATGGCAGACTTCAAAGCACTACGTAGACATTACGCGGAACAATCCGAGAGACCGATACCGCGAGCCCAAGCATCCGACCGCGAGCCCATTGATCTAATCCCACCGAGAAAGGCGCGAGCCAAAAAAAAACCAAAGACCGCAACGAATCTCGAACTTCTCTCGTCGCTCCAAGCAATCCGCCCCCCACCCCCTCCTCCCCTCCCCCCACCGAAACGATTCAATACCTGCCAGGCGTCGATGGTGTGCTGGAAGTCCTGGAGCCACCGGTCGGCCTGCATACGCACGGCGTCGTCGGGATGATGGTACAGCGCGTTCAGCGCCTCCTTCACCGTGTTCTGGAGCTCCATCGGGGCTCCGGCGGCGCTCCGCTCGGCTCGCTCCCCCACGCCCTTGAAATCCCCCGAAATTCGCGGCAGCTCCGGCGGAGGGAGGGACCGGCGGGGGGGGTGATTGACGGCGCCTCCTGCCCTTCGAATTTGCTACTAGGGTTTTACGGACTCACGAGCATCTGCGAATCGATGAACTCCGCTGGTGATTGAGGAGAGATTTCTCGAGATCAAAAGGGGTTTTTGGCGCCCGTCCGTAGAGAGATAGAGAGAGAAAGACGAAGCTTTTCGGGGGGCCGTCTTTCTAGAGCGTTTGATTGGCAGGGATGGCGAGGAGAGAGAAAGAAGAGAGAGAGAGAGGGTTTACACTCAATCGTTTGATCTGATCAAAAATTTGATTTTTTTTTTCCTCTCTCCTGAGCCTGGAAGCTCCGCACCCGGGTTTCGTTCCGGTGCCCCCGCGGGACCACGGTAAAGACCGTCTCGCGATTGGGCGGATCGGTGGACGGCTGGGCCCCGCCGCCTCCGGATGCGCAACGTCGGCCGGGAGATCGTGGGAGCGGGGACGATCGTAGCCGCTCCTCCGTTTCGGACAAAATCTTTTTTGGCGAGGCGCTTTTTTTTTTTGTGTTTTAGTTTTTACTTGTTTTTTTTTCGCTCTGATTTGATCTTTTTCCAGCTGGGACTAGGTTGTCCCGGTTCCTTGCATCCTTTCTCAGCAATAAGACACGAATTGAATCCCCTCATCATTTCTTGCTTTCTTGGGCCATTTTTTTCTCACTTCTTCGGCGAAGAAGACGGTTCGATCCGCGAATCATTACAAGGATGACCTTTTTAATTCTGACAATGTACTCTTAAATCTTTTCACGACTTAATAGCCAATTCATTTTGAGTAAAGCTGCCCACGTCAGCATATCTTATAAGACGGCCGGCAATGACCGGAATCATATAAGCAATTTCTATCAGCAATTGGGTGTAGCGCGAGCAAAATGGATCGATCGGATCAGGAAGCATCCGAATTGGACCAAACCAGCCGGTTCTAGGCAGTTCTCGGAAGCATCGGTCTGGTTCTCGATTATAAAAAATTGGAACCAGTAGTTTTCGATCTAGTTCCTAAGTTTATGTGTGGAACCGCCCACACGGACCATCCGAATCGACTATTTATTTTATATTCTTGAAATTCTATAAAATTTTAAAAAACTAAAAGACCCTCTAGGCTCAAGTACCCTCTTTCCCGCCATAGTAGTTGTTTCCTTTCTCAAATCTAAACAAAACCCTAATCTGCAGTCTCACTCTAGCTCAACTATCATGACTTGCCTCCCTCAAGCAGTCTCACTCTCTCAATCAACTCTCGCCTCCCTCTCTTGCTCTGTTTTGGCCGCTCGACTCTCACTCTCTGTCTCACATCTCATCAAGGTAAAATGCTGTATTTTTTTTGCCACTCTCTATACACCATTTCGATTTTTTTTTTTTATCTTGTCTTCGAATTTTTGCTATTCATTGTCTCGCATCTCATCGACTCTCACTCTTTGTTTTTTTTGTAACTTTGTCAAGTGCCCGCCTCAACCGTCTTCGTACGTCTCATTCATGCCTCTTGCCCAATTCGTCTTTTTGATCAAAGATGAAGGGCTCCATCATGAATCGCTTGGCCATTTTCTTCCCTTCCGTTACCTTATTTCAACATTGAAAAAAAAAAAATATTCCATCGGCCCACCCGGGAACCGGTCCGATTCCCGATGCTTGGGCGTGAACTGGACTGCTCAAGAACGGATCACTCCTAATTGGTCAAAAGATTACATTGAAATTTTGCGAAAAGGTTTAGAGTTGCATTAAAAAAATCGAAAAGTTTAAAATTAAATTGGCATCTTTATAATAAATTATGACTGATTTTGTAATCATCATCTAAAATAAAGATTGACAATGCTCAAGTTTTTATTTATTTATTTCCACTCATGTTCTTAAAGGAATGATGTTCGAATTAGTGATTAAAGCATATCTATACATCTTAAATGTTCAGACGATCTGATTAAGAACAATATGTGTGTAAAATTGTTAAGTAAGATTTCTCGTAATTTTCTCACGAGTTTCTTTTTTCGTTTTTATCTTCAGATATACACATGTTCGAAACGTCTCTCCTGCTAACAAAAAGAACAAGAATCCAATTACGCTAACATAATTTTGGTATTAACTATTAATTAATTAATGAATTGCTTGAAATCTTGTGATTCACAAAAAAATATATATATATCTCACGCCAATCATTTGATGGGCCATGATCACAAGCCAACATCTGATGTCTAATGGGCTGGGCCGACGCAACCGGGCCCAACGGGCCGAAGATCTCGTGCTGGCCAGCCCAGACAAAGCCCGTCGGGCACGATCCGTCATCGATCAAGCTCGGGCTCTCTCGCGCCGATCCCGCACGACCACGCTAATCGTTCTGCTCTCGCTCCGCTCGCTCGCTCGCTCGCAGCTATGGCGGAAACCGAAACTCCCTCGCCGGCGATACACATACCCGACGAGTGGTCCGGCGCCGCCGACGCCATCGCCTACGGCTCGGTCGCTCCGCCGCCCCCGACCGCTCTTGTCTGCGGCGCCAAGAACTGCGGCAAGACCACCTTCTCTCGCCACCTCCTCAACGTCCTCCTCCAGAGGTCGGTCCGCCGACACCTCCTCTCTCTCTGTCCTTCTCGTTCTTCCCGATACACGCGCTGCCAATGCTCGTTTCATTTTCGGCTCGGTTTGTCCGTGGTCCGTGGACTTCTACGCGCTTTGAGAGTAGAATGGTTTCGGTGATGTGGTAGCTCGATGAACGTGCTTCGCCTCCTGTCGTGCTGGGCTGATTGTGTGTTCTTTGATACGTTGATCAGTGCGAGGGCATTGCAGTTTGATGATCTTGTTCGCGAATGTTTGATTTTAGCTCAGCAGTTTTGGTAGCTGCAGTTCGATGAGATGGTCACACAGTTCACACGTTCCTTTCCGGATTGAATTCATCAGTACATACGTTTGCTCGCCAACGCATTAAGCTGAACATGTATGAGCTAATGGTTCATAAGTTAGGGAAGGAGCTAAAAAGATCTTCTTGATTTGACTATTTAATCTCTGTGGGCTATGAGTTTCGTGCTTAAGTTTGGGTTGCACTTATGATGTGCCCGGTTATCGGTTAAGTAGTTCAGCCGTGTCGATTTGTTTGGTTAGTATATTTGACAAGTTGAATTCGGTGTGTTTTTCTCTTCCACTGTGTCGTGCTGAGAGCTTAGTGGAGATTTGTATGCTTGTTGTGTAGAATAAACATGTTTATCTGTTCATCTTCCTATTTCTTCTGAGCTGCTCTCCCTCTATGCAGATATAAAAGAGTAGCTTATTTGGATACAGACGTTGGGCAGCCAGAATTCACTCCCCCTGGTTTTCTCTCTCTTACCATAGTTGACAAACTGACAACAGGTACCGTTCTTGTAATTACCGCCTCCTTTCGTTTCCAACCCATGAATCGTATCTCTGTTTTCATGGCTAACTTTTTTTTTCTTTTCTTCCTGTTCAATATCATCTATACTTTTGCAAAGTAGATTTGACAATTCCCTGCTTGAAGACACCGGAGAGGTAATAATCATGTTACTTACGTTGCTGCTTCTGAAATTTGAGTGGATTCACAATTTTATACATTCATTCTGCTACTAAATCAGTTGGTTGGATGTTCTGCCCCCTAAGGGAAAAGGCTCTATAGTGTGGCTTACTAGTTTCCCTGCATCAGATGCTTTTTCTTCGGAGATGTTTCTGCCAAAAGGGATCCTGCAGCATACTTGAAGTGTATATATGCTCTCTATGATTACTTACGCGAGGCGCACCAGAGTTTGAACAGCAAAGAAGACCCTGCCGTAGTTGGATTGCCAACAGTTGTCAATACACCTGGCTGGGTCAAAGGCATAGTTTTTTCGATAACTAAATCACTATCATCATTTCTGCTATTTCCTTAAGGCCCATTAGGGTTCTCCTTTTCTTCTCACTTTGTAGCTGTTTATGTCTAACTGACTATGTCTCCAGGTGTTGGTTATGATGTACTGGTCAAGGCGTTGAGATATATTTCTCCTACACATGTAGTTAAAATAAACATCTCGGCCGAGAGCAAGAATCTACCACCTGGGCACTTCTGGTTAGATGAGGATTACGACGAGACTGTACATTTAATAGAGATCAAGTCGGCTCGGCAGGATTCTTTCAATAGATCGTAAGTATTTACCCTGTTCAATGGTTATTGATGAACCAATAGTGTCAAGAAGCAAATTAATTTGGCTAGAACTTGCTCTTGCTGTCCTCAACATTAATGTGACAGATGGGTCTTGAGCCTCTCATGGTGTGAGTAAGCTTTTTGGGACTTTGTCTAATGAATAAATGGTTGTAACCGTAATGACATCAAATGTTCTTTCCTAATGAAGTATTTATGTTATTATGTTCCATTGGAGCTCTTTTCGTCTATTTGAGTATCAGTGATCAAATATGTTTATGATGGTGCTTTCCTCATCTATGATTGCGGAGTACCATGTCATGCATCTGTTTCTATTGTCCTTTTGCGACAGAAATCATATATTCACGCTAAACCCGGTTCACCGAACTTTTAGGAGATTGTATAACTTTAATGGTCCTATGTGTTCCAGGGTTCTCACCCAAAAAGATGCGCGACTTTTGCGAGATATGAGGATAACGGCTTATTTCAGGCAGTGCTTCCCCAGTAGCTCAAACATCACCAAAATAAAGGAACTCGCACATGCATTGGCTTCTCATCCCCCTTATGAAGTTCCAATTTCTGCCATCAAGATAAAGCATCTGCACTGCCAGGTCGGTTCCTAGTAATGGATAAATGTCGAAACTTTGATAGAAAGTTTCTTGCTGGAGATTTTTGGTACCAATCTCTTTAGAACATTCTTGTTTGAAACAGAGGATGTAAGTGGACAACGAACAACAGGGACTTATCTAGAAGATGGTTCGTCAATTATATTATGGCTTTCTGCATTACCTAAAGGAAATAAGGCCTTTTATTTTTCTTCTCCTTGTGGTCTGTGGTAGGTCCCAAGTACTGAAGTATTTTATAGCTTGAACGCATCCATTGTCGGCTTGGCAATTAGCTCCAACGAACCTGATGATTTGCCTTCTTGTGTAGGTCTTGGTAGGTTACTTTTTCCGCATCTGTTTACAATTAGTTGCTGATGAGCTTATGGTTCACGTACGCTTTCAATAAAGTCTCTGCATAAGATATATACTTATCTAACTCACTTTTCTTGATGGACCAGGTATTGTAAGAGGTACTGACTTATCGAAAGGATCTATTTATGTGATCACCCCTGTTCCTTTGAAGATGCTGGAGAAGGTTGATCTTTTTCTGCAGGGCTTCATTCAAATACCAACAAGTCTGTTGCAGGTCCTAATCTTGATTTCATCCTGCATCAGATCTTTGTCATCTAGACTTGAATCTTCTTTGATATCCATGTCTTTTCGTTTTATGGTCCTTTTATAGGCAGGACACAACAACACCGTTTTAGTTTGATTTGTGCTGGTTTTATTCAATGTGCATTAGCTGCACCGGCGATGGATTTCCGGTCTGCCTTGGTTTTTATGGTCACTATCTTGACTAACTTGTTCATGACATTTTCGATGGGCATTATTAAATTCTCCACCAGTTGTTCCATTCTGATATGGGCAGATCTGAACATTTCAGTTGTTCTTTGCAGGTGCAAGGATACATGTCCCCATACATGTCTACAGATGTTCTACCCACAAGTTAGCTGAGGTTGGTTGTCATATGCCATGTGGCCCCTGCAGTATTTTAGATCAGTCATTGTACATCCAAGATGAAGTACAATGTAGTAGTTACAGGACAGCAATTTGCAAGCAGAGTGATATCCTTGTAGGAGTAAATTTCCTAGTTGAGTATATGTGCTGTGGAGCGAAGCGAATAGACAGTTAGCACCACAGAAAGAAAAGTATTTTCCTATGCAGGCAAGCAATATTGTCGAATAATTTGACTCTAATTTGATTCAGGAAATTGGTGTTCGGGGAATGATTTACTTGTCTGGCTTGGTGCATCGCATGAGAAAGAAGTGTGGCAGCTTGAGCGGTTACCATACCATGTCCGGTACTGAAAGATTGATATAATTTGCACATCATGATATACAAAATCGCGTTCATCAAACAAGTCGCGTTCAAATTGAAAGTTTTGAAATTGGATACGATTGGTAAGATTTCTATTAACTCCATTGATGGTGTAAAGAGAATAAATTTTAGTCGTCATTACATTAGATACTGTCTGCATTTAGAGACGAATATTAGCTAGTTGAATTCTTCAACATGTCAACCGTCTAAAAGCGATTGTGTAAATAAAATACGATCTTTCATGAGTGTCACTTCACTTCTGAATAAATATCGATAAGTCTATAAGAAATGAGTAGTTTAATTTCTAAAAGGAGTTGGAAAATGGTGTAGATAGCATGTCAAAATTGACAATATTGGAAATCCAATTCATTCTAATAATACTAGAACTATTTAAAACACATTTATCTATTAATTCCGTTAAAATAGACATTCCACGCATTGGATGAGGATTGATGCCAGCATTATGTATTTATAAAGATTAAATTGAAAGAACAAACAAACCGGTTTAAGACAAAGATGGTGTCTTTGGCTTGCATGTTTAGTGGAGAACCGTTATTTCAGGTAAGTTCTTGACCGTTTCTAATTATAGTTGAAGCAAAGCTCACCGCCAATACTTTAGAGAATCCTGAGTTGAAACATAAATCTATCAAGCCAAGCTGTCTCTGTCCTTCCCAGAGGGAAAACAAGAGAGGAGAAGAGAAGAGAACAAGAGGTCACGATCTCGGTCTGCTCTGACTCACCAAGGTCATGATTCTCTGACTCTCCGTTGATTAATCACTCCATCCTCCCTAAACTTTTTCTCTGGATAAGTTACTTCACTTTTCTAGTTGATTTTGTCGCCGCGAAAAGCCGCATGGCGAAGCGATCATTCAAGTGTTTTGTGGAGCAGGAGCTGGGAAAGTTCCCGCTCTTCGTGATCTACGCCGTGCTCGAATGGCTGCTCATCATCATGCTGTTTGTCGATGGGTTTCTGGCGTTCGCCGCCAATGAATTCGCCAAGTTCTTCGAGATGCGGGTCCCCTGCCTTCTCTGCACGAGGATCGACCACGTGCTGGTCCGGAGGAGTCCCGATTTCTACTACAACGATTCCGTGTGCGAAGCGCACAAGAAGGAAGTCTCGTCCCTCGCATACTGCCACGTCCACAAGAAATTGTCCGACATTAGGAAGATGTGCGAGGGGTGTCTTCTTTCTTTCGCGACTGAGAAGGAATCTGATTGCGATACCTACAAGTCCCTCGTGGGGATATTGCATAAGGATCTCGAATGCTTCGTTCAGGATGATTCCGGGGTTCATTTGGCGTTGTCTTCCGGAAAGAAGGATGAGAGGGTCGAGGTCAAGAAGAGTGGAAATCAACGGTGCACATGTTGCGGAGAGCCACTGAAAACGAAGCCATCTTCGCATTCGAAGAATGGCCCGAAATCGAGAAGGAGCACCAGCCCAATTTCGCAAGCTCCCGCTCCATCTCCTAGAGGACCCTTTGTGACCTTGAGGAATGACGAGGCGCCTAACTTGATGTTGCCTCATATCCGTTACACAGAACTAAAATTCAACCCCGATGCTGGATCTGATATTCCTGGCCATGATGCGAGCTCGAATGCGCTACTTCCTGACAACCAGGGTAATATTTGTGCCTGTGAAAATCATCCCTCATCCTTCAATGATCTCTTCGAGGGACTTCAGAATTGTTGTCTTTAGGTAATAGCTAGGGCAATCATATTCATTTCCTAGTTTGAATTCTTTTCTTGCTTCTCATCCATGACAGGTACATATGAGATGAAAATTGCTACGGTGCCGTTGCTCAATGAGAGCGATGACATTGGCGAAGCAGTCAGAACGCCTCCCTTTGGGAGGGGAAACAAGTTCTTTGGCATCCCACTTACCGATTCAGCTAACTCGAGCCCGAGGTGGGGTTCGAGGCAGTTAAAGAAATCGATCCTTGACAAGGTAGATTTTGCTTCTGAGCCCAGTGATGGCATCATAGCTAGTGAAGACTCTATCTTGAGCCATTTAAAGAGGCAGGTTCGCTTGGACCGCAAGTCGCTGATGGCCCTGTACATGGAGCTAGACGAGGAAAGAAGTGCCTCGGCTGTCGCGGCCAACAATGCAATGGCCATGATCACGAGGTTACAAGCAGAGAAGGCGGCCGTCCAAATGGAGGCCTTGCAGTACCAGAGAATGATGGAGGAGCAGGCAGAATACGACCAAGAAGCCCTTCAAGAAATCAGTAACTTGCTTGCCAAGAGAGAGGAAGACATCAAATTGTTGGAGGCCGAACTGGAAGCGTACAGAGGGAAGTATGGATACTTGGAGGGTTTCGAAGTTCGCAAGGACGAAACAGTAGACAAGGATTGCCAGGAGTTGAAGCATCAGTATTCGTTCTCCGATGGGGGTTCCGAATGTGGAAGCCACACCCCTAGTGTCAACCAAGGAGAAACCGTTGGGGACATTGCACAGGATCAAAGCATCCTTGATTCGTTGCAGGATGAAATAGGTGTCCGTAAATCTCCAGAAGAAAAGATTTGATCCCAGTAAGACTGCTACACTTAAGAACGCGTGCATTTCGTTGTTGGTCATTATCAGAGGAGGCAGGAAGCGGAGATGGGAATGTTACGATGACAGAAGCATCTCATCATACGGAGTGGAAATACAATCGGAAAGATGTTAAGGGACGGCACTTCCGGAGCGAAACATCTCGACTTTTAATAAATTCATTCTTGATGGTAATTTATTTCCCATACTTTGGTCCTTTGAAGTCTGGAGAACTGACAAGGCACAGAAAGGTTTGCCTGTATATACGAGTGATTTTAAACATTTGGACAGTTGCAGGTTGCTTATCGTAAATTCAATTTTGCCTAGAGCGTTTGCGCCGGAAGTTTCTTGCTACATCTCAACGTGCTTGAATATTCTTTGTATTTTTGGCATGATCAGTCAGGTGCCAAACAGCATCTTGCACACTGATATGTAATGTACCTGCTAAGCAGAATTGAATCGTGTCCTGTCCAATGTCTCAAACAATTTCCAGCCGACAGAAACTCAAATCCGAGTCAGGTCAAAAGGACCCTGACACGTATAGAAGTTCGATGGATCGAGTAGGAAAATAAATGCATTATCTGGCATGCAATTTATCACGCAAACCATCGATAAACACAATGCCGCGCGTGGTTCTTTCCTTACAAGATCAATTAAACTGTGCATGTATGGCCAATAGTATCATGATTTTCCATGTCTTCTATGGAAAGAAAAAGAAAATGATTTGTCCCCAACAATGATCACAGATGATAGACTTTCTTTTCCCGTAATGTACCTCCGCAACACGTTTCTGGCAACTGATGATGCCGACGACATTCCCATGTCCCACTTTCACTCTTTCTTTTCACCTTCATCTTTCTTAGGATGTAGACATTCCCTTTCTCACCCTGGGAAGATTTCTGGAGTTCTGGAGTTCGAGGCCTAACGGAGCTGAATTCCTCTCTTGACCCGTTTAAGCCCTTCGAGTGTCACCGCTGATGATTTGCAGTATTAGAAGTGATCAAAAGAAACATTATTTCATGATAGATCCCATGTAACGCAAATCGGGAATTGAATGAATTCGACATTTTGCCTGTGTACTTATCTGCAGAAACAGATATGAAATAGCAATTTTTCCACTTTTGTGGCTTGGTCATGCGGTGAAGGGAGATCTTGCACTTGAAAACCGGATGTCAAACTTTGATCACATTTGGTTCCTGAACTTTCATTGTTGTTTCAATGTAGGCCTTCAAACTTACATTTGTTACAATTGACTCCCTGAAATTGTATTATTTTTTTCAATCAAGCCCATCCATATTCAACTTCGACGATTAGAAGCTCGCCTGTGGTCGGAGTCCGCCAATATCGCGGCAAAAAATTAGCCAGGGTGGGCGATTAGTTTGTGTTGACCAAGCTACAATAACAGTACTTCAAGATACAATCGCACAATTAGATAAATTTTCGTTAACTTATCGATCGAGGCACTCAATATCTCAAACGTCAGACATTCGATCGGAGACACCAATCCGGCCTCGGCTTCGATTTACCCGAATCGGAGAGGAGCGGCTCGATCGGGAAATTTCTGTATCACGAAGTCGAGGGACCATATTGAAAAAACAACTCCAGTTCACGGGCTAAATGCGTAAACATTCCGTCTTCTCTGCTTTTAACGCAAAAAAAAGATGCTCGCTTGTGATAAACTAACCACTCGGAGTCGGGTGGCACCGATGACCCATCCGCGCACATTAGCATCGTCCGTCGCTTCGACATCGCTCTCCTCCTTGGCTCGCCTCCTTATCCTGCGCCCACCCACCGGCGCTCTGCGCGCCGCCGCGCGGACCAAGATGAGCGACCCCAGCAGCGAAAACCAAGAAAGGGGCCAGCTTGAGTCCATATTCAAGCAGAAGAAGATCCTCCGAACCAGAGTCCGCAGGGCCCTCAAATCCATGGACCCACTTCAGAGATCTCAAGAGGGTACTCGAATTTCGCTCGTATCTGCAGATTTTGTTCTGTTGTTGGTCGGAATAGCTTGTTCTTGATGATGGGTTTTGCATATGAAGCGTCTCTGTTTGTGTAATGTATGAAATTGTATGTGTGCATTGCTGGATTTTTTGTTGGTGTCTTTTGGTTTTGGGCCATTTTTTGTTTGATTGAGCAATGGGGCAACTTTTTGTGGGATGTGCAGTTTTTTCATAAAGGAACTAAAATGAAAACGGGGGGCAAAAGCAGTGACATAGATTTCTTTGACTGTAGGTTGTAAATTGTCATCTGGTGAATAAAGTTTTCTGATTTGCTCCACATTGAGATTTCCATCCTTTGTTTCAGCATTTTCAAAGGAAATGCATACCGAGAAAATAGGACAAAATGTTTGTGTTTGTGTGTGTGTGTGTGTTTTCTCTGGCCATTATGCGCAGACAGCAGAAGTGGTGTTATTACTTATGTAAAATCGATGGACTAGATTGAGCCTATGATTGATGGAATGTTGCACCTTAAAGCTAAAAAAAAGTCTCCGCAAAAGAAAGCGGGCTTAAAGCATTCCAGCTTTGATTTGTATGAATTGGTGTGGCTTAGTAGTTTAAATCATGGAGAGGTTCGCTTGAAAATATGGATGACTTAACCACTGCTTATACCAATTTCCAAGGACAAGAGTTTACTAAACACATAAAAGCAAACCGTGACATTGATTTATTGGATGTGACGTCATTTTCTTCATCGCAAGATTTCCCTGCTCAATACAATGTGATTGGTGTGGCCTTTGTCAGATGAGACAATTCAGAGTCTTGTACTAGATGCTCCGTGGTTCAAATCTAGTCAGAGATTATGCGCATATATCAGCTGCAGTGCCTTACGGGAAGTAGATACCTCGAAAATTCTCTCACAAGTTTTGCAAAATTCAGCCAAAGGTGTGCTCCCCTGCTCTCCACCTTTACAGTCACATTTAGCTGCCCAACTTAATACGCCAAATTTCCTGTCTCTGCTATGGGCATGGAGATTGTTAAGGTTGTTTCTTATGTACCTGAAAACTGATATATTTCCCGATTTATCTCTAGATGGTCACATACAGATGAAGAAGAAGCTTTATGTTCCACGTGTGGAAGACAAAAACAGCCACATGAGAATGCTCAACATCTCAAGTGTCGGCGATATGATTGCAAACTCAATGGACATATTAGAACCTGCTGCGTTAGATGCTGATGGAAATGAACGTGAAGATGGTAATTGTCTTCTTATCAAAACCATGTCTCTTCTTACTGCCATTCTTCCTCCTTGCTTTCTTCTTTTCATCATGTAACAAATAACATTTGAAATTCCTGGGCTGATTTTTTCGTGTGGAATTTGTTTCGACTTTATGCATCATTCCTTGTGGTTTATAAAATGTTGGTCTCTTATAGCCCGGGATTTAAACTTGCAAAAGCTTTTGCCAGTTAAGTCCACTTTTAGAAAAGCTTATCGCATAGAATAATTACTTACTCAATATGATCGTTTCTCCTTGTTTGAGTAATTCCTTTCTGTAGTAGTAGAATTGGGCAGATCCTCCTTACTTTGAAATGGACAGTATTGAAATTATACATACAATTTGGAAGGGTCTATGAGTGTTATATGATTTCATGTAAAGTGGGTGGAGGGGCATACTATTCTACATATAATTGCTTTTGGCGGTTGGATTATCACTTTTCCATTGTACTGATTGTGAGATACAATTTGACAGAGGATGAGATACTGCGTTTGCGGATTCCAAATTTATGCGAGAGGCATGGTTGTTAGTCATTTTTTAATAGGAGGTTGTAACGTGACCAATAAAGAGAGCTACAGTTGCTTCTTCATCGTTAATAAATCTTCATGTAGTTAGTCTTTGTGATCCTTGAGCTCATGTTAATGCCTTAGATCTCAAATATTGACTTCCTCGATATGCGTACAAACATGTATACCAGATATTGTCCCCTGTGGTTGCATATTATGCTGCATTTGTTAACCTATGGTTACATGAGGCCTGAAGGAACTTTTCTTATCTCAGTCATGCAGGCAGATGATCCTGTTGACTTGTTCCTTTTACCTGGTAATTGTTGTTGTTCATCCTATTATTATCATGTGGCATGCTTCAAGGTTAGAGAAACTAGAACATCAGTTGCTTTGCTTGTCTTTGTTGTTAGGACTTGCATTTGACGCATCTGGAAGACGCTTGGGCCGAGGTGGAGGGTAGGATTGTGATCACTACCTTTTATTTTATGTTCGAGATCTAAGCTCTGTCAGAAATATACACTTGCTATGATAGTGGATCCTGACCTTGTTAAGTTTCTCCATGATGGTGACAATTAACCTGGCATAGTGTTTTCTTAGTAATGTACTTTTAATTTAGAAAACTTTTGTTCCATGTCCTCCAGAGAGCAGAATCAAATTATTTTTCATTAGGATTTTGCTTGCTTTTACCTTTTTGTACTGACTGTATTGCATTTGCAAAAGGTATTATGACACTTTCCTGAGAAACTACCAAGAGCTTGCACATACTCGGAACTGGAAGCAACCCCTCCTTGGTATGTTGGTGAATAGTTTCTTTTCCTTTCTCAATTTATGGGACGGTATAGCTTAAGAGTTTCGGCCTGTTCATTTTCGATGCTTGCAGTTGCCTTGTCATGCTCTCCACAAATTATGGATGAAGGAGTCATACCAGTCACTCCAGATGACCTCCCGGTAGATGCTCTCATCTCCCCTTCTGGTGTAATTCCCATAAGCCCTGCAGCTTTGGACAGGTTGGCCTAAGATTCTGCGGTCTTATTTTCCCTATACTAATTCATTTCTCAATACTGGTCCAATTGGCTGCAGAATGAAGATTTGACATGGGCTTTGATACACCGTCTGGGTTCTCTGCCAATCTGGTGTGGGACCTGCAAAGGGTGATGTCCATTGCTTAAAACATGTGGCTGGCTTTATCAAAGTCATGATGACGCAAGTCCTTAATGCCTGGTTTTTCATTGGTCTCTAATACCATCGATACATAGAAAAGCCAGTAGGTGAGAAGATCCTCCTGATTTATCTTCTGTTTCATGGATCAAACATTCGAACTCTTAGTAGCCCAGGTGAATCTGTGCTCTCTGGGGGAGCTTAGCTAGGTTTTGTCATTCTGGGTCTTCTCTCTGATCACAGACGTGTAGAAACCACAGTGTAATTGCTCCTTAAGTAGCAATTCATCGGTGAAAAATGAATTGGTTTGATCCCACAACCAGAAGAAGAAGGGGAAAAAAAGAAGAAAGCAAGTCATTTGGGCGGACAGCAATTTGCGACATTTACCAGGTTGACTCCATGCATACCAGGTCAATTCCGTGTAACTCGGTACTTGATCCCTCCACTCCTTTTTATCCTTTCTGGTAGGAGGCAGAATAAGCTGTTGTTGCATCTTCTCTTTCTCGTCACATATTATATTTATCTGCTCGATCATGTGTGGTTAAAACACAAGCATGACGAGAGTCTTCGAGGAACAGCTTTATGAGTGCAAATTGCGTGACTCGTTTCCTCGGGTGGACGATAGCTCATTGCCTTCCCTTTCACACTGTCCTGCAAAAGAAGGATACTTTTTACGCAAAGTCTGTTTGGTTGCAATTTTCAGTCACTTTCTTCAGCAAACGCGCTTCAAGGTTTCAATGACCACCATTACAGTCTCCAAGACATTGTCCTAGGAATGAGTCAAGCACTTCCGTTTGGCTGACCAATCTGCCTCATTTTTTTCTTTTGTTCTCGTTATACCAAGTTTGATTTTGTAGGCCATATAGAAGTAGTGGATTGACAAAAATTTGGAAGCGCTAGAGATTCTTCCCCCGTGCTTTCCTAGTTGATCAAGTGGTCAAAATGTCAAAGTCTTAGCTCTCTTTCTTCACGAGAGGAGAGTCTTCCATTCAAGTACGGTCTATTCAAATCAATCTGCTCAACAACTTTAATTTGTTGGCCTAGAGATAGGACCTTCAGCTAGAAATTTATTTGTCACCAACTACTTTCTTTCCTCAGGAAATAGTAAAATTACGTCTAAGAGTTGCTTATTTCTGGAATTCCTTATTCATTTGGATGAGGTGGAAAATATGCTAGACAAGTTATTGAAGTGTTCTTGTCTCCATTGCTGATGTTGCTAGCAAAGACCTTGCGGTATTTCTGTTGCTTTCTTACGTCGTGCTTGGACTTTTATATCAAGCCTCATTCACACGCCGCTGTAGCTCAACTTTATTAGTAGGGCCAGTCAGTCTTCTGCAACTTGCATCCAGGTCCCATCCAACTAATACCACTAAACAAACTTGTGTATATAACAGCAGAGAGATGCCCTTAACCCACCGAAGCCTCGTACTTTCTTCAACTGCCAAATACATTTTCCAGCTCTCCCATGGAGATCTCGCCGACTTCGCAGATCTCACCGTTGTTTTGCCTAACAATAGTTCTCGTTCTAGTTCTTCCTATTCCTTCCTATTCAGCCGACCCGGATTTGTTGCAGGATTTCTGCGTCGGAGACTTGAAGGCCGCCATAACTATTAATGGCTTACCCTGCAAACCGGCCTCAGAAGTAACCCCAGATGACTTCTTCTTCGATGGCCTGAGCAAAGAAGGCAATACGAGCAATCAATATGGTATGAGCCTGACCCCTGGAAACGTCCTTACCTTTCCCGGGTTGAACACACTAGGGATTTCGATGAACCGCGTCGATTTCGCTCCTGGTGGACTTAATGCGCCCCACTCGCACCCTCGTGCAACCGAGTCTGGGATCATCATCGAGGGGAGGCTCCTCGTTGGATTCGTGAGTACCGATAACGTGTTCTACTCCAAAGTCCTCACTGCAGGTCAGATGTTTGTGGTTCCAAAAGGGTTAGTGCACTTCCAGAAAAATGTTGGGGAAGGGAAGGCCCTCATCTTCACAGCCTTCAACAGTCACTTGCCTGGGTCGGTACGACTTGCTACGACACTATTTGGCGCGACACCAGCCATTCCAAATGATGTATTGACAGAGGCTTTTCAAGTCGAAGAAGATGTGATCAATGAGATAAAAGCCAAGTTCAGCTCTTGAAAGCCAACTCAATACGAGGAAAGAAGCCGGCCACTCGATCTCAAGAATGAGGATTTCGTACGATGAAATTGTGTTTAATGCACTGATATGCTCAAACATATTCGTTCTTTGGGTAATGCCCACAAAAACCCACGGATCAATCTCTCCGTCTCATTTGGCAGTTCATATCGTCATTTTGTTTGTCAATAGCGTGTAGAAGCCGTATAGACTTGGATGAAAGAAAGCGAGTCTGGCGAAATGTCAAGACAAGTAAGTCGTAGAATTTTGCTTCCTCATATATCATGTTCAAGAAGCCACAAATAAACAGTGTACGCTGTATCTGATCTGGTTAGATAGTGCAGATGGAAATCAGATGCATTACCTGCTAAGATTAGGCATTACATAATTGAGAATGGACCGACAATTTTCGCTTTGTGGATTCGGCACCAACAATAAAGTTCATGTTACATATTGACGCGGACCTGAATAGTTAATCTGGCCCCTCGATCCTAAGTTAAGTCGAGCAAGTCCGTTGTCATCAAGTCTCTCTCTTAAAACCGCCACCGGTCTGCATATGAAGCCAATCCGGTTGTGCTTGTGAGCCTTGCATGTAATCCCTCGCTGCTTGTGAGGCAAACATCATGCCAGTACCGTCAAAAGGCTGTGACATGAGCTAAAACCCAGATTGGATTAGTCAATAGTTGCAGCACAAGCTAAAGTCCATGTTGCAGTTGGAAGTTAATTCAAATTAAATAGGACATAAGTAAGCCAGCAATAATAGTGACGTGCATTAGAACTAGCATTCTCATGTAGTTGCATTTTACGGTCTTGTAGAAAGTAAAAACTAGCTCTTATTGTAAGTCACAGCACAACAGGTCTGGCGTTGACAACGAATGCATTTGCTAGAAGATCCAAGAGGAAAACATCACTATCCTAATAGAAAAATGGAAAGGGGAGTCTTGATTGGGCCTGATGCCATGCCGCATACCCATTGTGGTCGTGGACTAAATTAACAGAGCTATCTTCTGTCCATAAAACATCGTGTACTTACATCTTTGGCAACAAAGCCTTCCACTGCCGGGCTGATGTCCATCCTTGAATTGACTGCTTCGAGCTTCATCGACAAGAACTAGAATATCCATGGTATAGATTTAGATCGCCAAGACGAGCATAACAAGTCATCCAGCAATAACTAGTATAGTGACCGAAAAGCCTTACCTCAACCTGGTGCTGCAATGACTGGATATAATTGATAATCTCATCAAGAACCAGTGCCTTTCCAATGATCTGATCAGAAGGACAACATCAGGAATTTAGCCATGTAACCCAGGACTCATGTATATGGTAGATGATATATGTTAGCTTTGAAATGGTTTGAAAAGGTTAAAACCGTTTACCAGGAAGGTGAGGAGCGACAGGGGACAATGAAAAATGCTTGATGGCCTACATATGGTTAACAATGGCGCTGATTCAGCCAAGACAAATAGCATACCTTATTGCAACCAGGGACCAAATCTTGTAGAATTTTCATCCTCTCACTAATCTTCTCTCTCCTAGCCTGCCAAAGAGATGCGAACATAGGCATAGATTTAACAGCAATCGATTCCATGCCTATGTATTTTCCAGTCACGTATGTTGCCCGACACAAGTCATACACTAAAGGCTGTTACTTACTCTCTCTGCTAAGCTGTGACTGTCCGTCGCTTGGCCCCTCCTCGCCCTCACATGTATGTAGTCTTGCTTCGGCGGCTCAGACGGTTTAGCACTTTGTTCCGCGGACAACTTATTACAAGCAACAGAATTTGCCTCTACTTCAGCTTTGGAACCACCATTCTCATCGCGGGATCCGGCTATTTTCGTGCGCTTGGTACCATTTGAATTGTTCTGTTCCGGCAAAAGGAATGATAATCAACACAGCAATCCCACAGAGAGGAGCACAGATCTTCGCATAACAAGAATACCACCGTAATTTGGTACTCCTATCTCTTGCTCCTAAAGATCAAGAGCTTTTCGCTTCGGATTCGAAGTTAATGCATTGCAGACTTTTACACCATTCATTTGTTCCTTAAAATCTAGCAAAACTAAAAAAAAACCCAGACCTATAAACTGTCTACCAGTTCTCATCAAGTTGCTAGAAACCATTCACCAAACTAAGCCAAGATTTGTAAAAGTCAATGCTTGAGCGATTACGGCAAATCCACTCAAATCCAACGACCCAAAATCAGAGTCCATTAAAGCTTGAAACTTCAGACACATTAAGACAAGCCCAAATCCAGAACGGAGCAAGTGAGAGAGAAATTTGCACCGGGACTGACCAAATCACTGCCCACGACGCCACTCGAGGACACCATCTTCGACGACTCGTCCTCGGAGCTCGCATCCTTCCTCTTCCACCCGCTGCCGCTCTGCTCCGTCACCGTCGACTCCTCCACCGACCCGACAATGCCGGGGGGGTCGCCGCCGCCGCCGACGCCCAGGGGCCAAATCTCGGCCAAGGTGTAGGCGGACGGGTTGGCGGCGGAGAAGGAGGATGCGTTGACTAGGGGCGCGTCCATCGGGAGGATGGTGGAGGGTCCGGGCTCATGCGAAACGGGGCAGGACCCGAACCGAGGGGGGATGGGGCGGATCCGGATCAGCAAAAGGGGGATGATAAAGTTGGGTTCTTGGGATTGGAGGCACAAGGCACAAGGCAGAAGGCAGTGGCAGTGAGTGAAGAAGAAGGCCAGTGGATGTGTTGGGGGGGGGAGATCAGGGAGCTGATGATTTGTTTAAGTATGGGGGAACTCATAAACCAAACACAAACACAAACACAGGGGAAGAGAGAGAGGGAAGAGAGAGAGGGATGAGTGGGGGGTGTCCCTTTGCCTAGACACTGGAGGAGGAAGGCAGAAATTTTTATGGTTTGGTCCACCACTGGTCATGAGCTGTTTTTTTTGCCCTTTTTCTCTCCCCTCAAGTACCATAAACTTTAAAAAAAAGTATAATTCGATCCTAAAAATTGTTACGAAAGTGCAATTGAGAAGGGCTTGAATCGACCAATTCGACAAGTTTACGTTATCGAGAGCCTGATCATAAGAGTTCCGCACTCGTTAGTACAGCAGTAACATCCATGACTTGAAAAATCAGAAAAGCCGAGATGATTACAGCTGCCCCGATAGCATATTGAAACAAACAAATTGCGATTTGTCTTTACATGATGGCGGATGATTTTTCTCTGCGAAGTTCCCGTCTTTGTTTACGGGGGCTCGAACTTGTGACTCCATGCAAGATGGGCGAGTAGGGGTGAGCAGTGTTCCACCTATCTAGAATCCAGAACTTACCCGTAAAAATAGATTCCCTAATTCTTAGAATCTATAATCTAGAATCTATCATGCATACTCTATAACTTGGAACCTGACAAGTTCTCACCGATCCTGTTGTCCGGTTCCAGGTTTTACCTGGAACCATGATCTCCTACGGGCAAGCATAATTACCATTGGGCTAACCGTTCTCGATGGTTCATAAAATGCGATCTAATCAATACTATTTTTTTATAAAAAATAAAAGATCGATATGAGTTGAACTAAAGATTTGTTCGCTTCGATAAGTTACTCAATGTGCGGGAGCGAGTGGATGAATATGCCTCATGGAAAATTTAGTTGGATGCACAATTTAGTTATTATCTCTAATTTCGCGTTTATACACCGTAACTTGGCGTCCTAATTTTTGCAAATTTAATAATAGAACATTTCTAGGAATTCATTAAAATTTTATTACTTAGTCTATGTCTGACTCCTAAAGTTCAAGTATGACAACCACAATAAAATTCTATAACGTATTATATATACAAATTAATTGAAGGGAATGAATAAAATTGGGGTATAAATTTGCTTATTTTCCCTATATTTTCATCATTGTGACTAAGCATATTCATAGTCATTGGAACTTTGATGAATTCATATGGTCACCCTTTTTTTTTCTTTTTTTTTTTCAAATTGAAATTTATCTCCATTCTCCCGGATTCATTCCTTCCTTATCTAAGCAGATTAAAGGCAGAGGAAGAGGAGGTCTTCGTGACTTCAATTGATATTCCAAAAAGAAACTATGCATTCTCGATTTCAAGTCGTCCAATGATCACTAATGTAACAAAAATCGTGTCATCATTGGATAAACGTGGAAAATGTAAATACCCTTAATCACGCATGTAAGACGATGGCTTAATTTTCATCAGCGAGATATATCTCGACTCGAATAATTTAAACCTGAATAAGGTACGCTCGAGACTATATATATTAGTAATTGCCATCATCTCAATCTTACACAAACTTAGATCTAATCCAAGAAATAGGCCTTGATGTGTGCTACATATCCATTTTTTATTTATTTATGTAATGCATGTTTATATGTAGAGAGAGAAAGAGAGAGCATTACGAAATTGTTTCTTTATTTTTTTTTTATTGGTTCAAATCACAGTCTTCTAGTTAAGAGAAGCTTTCACGTATCATATGATTATAGACCTAACTTTGCACTTTAGTCCTTCGGCTTTTGCTAATTTACCAAAGCATGAACAGAAACTGAGCCCAAACAATGCTCCGCGCCAGGCGGTGCGCCTAACTTGTCTATCAAAAAAACAAGCAACGCAGCTAAGCAACCCTAATTAATTTCTTTTAAAGCCCTCTTTGTATTTTCCCCAATTTAGCTCCCAATCCTTTTCATGTGCCAGTTAACATTTGTCAAATTGCCATCCCATTTTCGACTACTCTGAAAATGACCCGCTTGGAAATCGCTCGTCCATATCAGCTGTCAATGTTCTCGGATGACTTTTTTCATACTACCGAGCATTTACATTGTTTTCCCGATCAATTTGATCCCAATCGATCGTAATTTGATCTTGGATCTCATGACGAGATGACCTTGGTGGATCTAAGCCAAAGTTGTCGCGATGCTCCCAGCGGGCATGTGGTGGGGGAGGGGGAGACGCGTTTAGAGGTAATGTCGAGTTCAGAGATCGAAGGCCCCCGAGCGGCGCAGATTCTCCCGAACTCTTACCTCGCATGACAATGGACTATTGCATACGAAAGAACCATTTGTTGGATAAGTTTAAATGGATATTTTTGGGAAAGTCTCTGTAAGAGGACATATAGTCTATTTCGAAAGAACTTATTCCAATCTCTAAAACATATGAATCTACTGTTTTTAAAGCTTTTCATTGTACTTTGAAATTTATGTCAAGATATCAAGTCGAAGGCGGTGTATTAAAAACGACAAGCTTTTTTTATTGAGTTATCTAACAAGTGTTCCGGAAGCACTTATTAACAAAATTCTGTCATCTCCCCGACAGACGCGTGCCCACGAAATATAATTTGATTTTGGCGAGCCAAGCAGCTAAATTTGAAACGGTTTCTACACATGGAAAAAAAAAACAGCTAAGGTTGCTGTAGATTAGGTTGCCCTATACAGAAATAGTATTATTCCAACCTCCAAGTGAGGGTCCCTTTATAGTTCAAACAAGTCAAATAACTTCTTGCACGTTTTCTTTCTTTACAGTTGTTTCAAATTTAGTCACCAAGAGAGTTAAACATAAGTTGACAAAAAGCAAAAGGCTTGTCAAGAAATTCTAATTTCAAACAATTTGGCTCACCAAATTCTAGATTCTTCTGCTAAAAATGCTGGAAAGTTTTTCCTTTGAGAGTCCCCTTAAAGTTGAGGCCATGGTCAACACAGCTTGGAAAAGGAGAGCAAAACCAGAGCAAAACCAGAGCCCACATAAGGGAGGCTAGGCCCATTCTTGCTGTTTGAGACAGGAACATTGGTTTTGTCTGGAACTTATTATGTATGGAGCTTGCCTTTGTTTAATCATTGGCGGGGGTGACTAAAGCTTGAAAGAATAGCGATTCTCGGGCCCATGCTCCCGAGCACCCTAACCCACATCTTGATGAACTGAAGCACCCGGACCCATCTTTCCCCTAGCAAAATCAATAATCTTGCGGGGCCCCTGGATCTGCAAAAAGGGTCATAAACATTTTCAGAGTACCTTGACCAACCCCCCCACAATTATGTGATGGGATGTGCATATTACACTTCATCATCCATGCCAGTCTCACGAAATTTGAATTCTAGAGACGGCATAGTGTAAGTTGGAGGTTGCCAGCTTGTGATTTTTATGTGGTGGTTGGAAGGAGCTTCGGCGCGATTAAAGGGGAGTCACATTATTATTGGCCAGCTGACTCTATGCACGCTGAGACCTTGGTTTTGAAATTCGAATTTGCTTATAAAGATTAAAGGGTGTTTGATGCCTTATATTACACAGATCATTGCCGTTTGCATTAGCATGGAGTCAATGTAAGGTCGAATCGATTTGCCTTTTCTAGGCTTACTTCAACCTGATGAAGCGCTTCGGATTTGATCCAGACACCTCGTGACACAAAGCTCCGAGTTCAAGCGCTTTGGACCATTGAAATACCATGTCTAGAAGTAGGACTGATCTATGAACCAAGCTCCATAAGCTAACCAAGTGCTGATGTGCATGCCCATTTCAGCTTCATAAGACAGAACGAGAAGCCCAAGTGAGAAGCTATTCTCCTATGCAAAAAATTGAAAAACTGAAGAACAGGAAATAGGCAAGAAGCTATAAAGCCAAGTAAAATCTTAATGACAATTGGAGACTTAAGAGCTTCCAATTCCATGTGGCTTGTCCCTCAGTAAATCCCACGACAAAGTAGCAAAAGCAATGTCTTCAAGATTCAGCTTCAGCCTTCCATCATGGGAACCCACTCTAGAAAAAGCTACTTCCAACATAAGAAAAGTGGTAAAGGCAAAAGGGCAATGCAATTTCCCGAACTCTTGTAAATCAGAATCGATGTACAATTTACAAAGAGGACAAACATTGCCTGTAGCTTTTATAGCCTTACAAGAAGACTGCCCTACCTAAAAAAAAGCTCTCCAATCTTTTACCCTTTCGTCCCTAGTCACCCACCTCAATCTGCTCTTTGTACTGTAGTTTTAAACAAGAGGACATACATCTTTTGATCCATTGAGAAGTACATGAATCCCCCTACCGAGTGTGTCACAAAAGACCCAAAGCTTGTCCCTACGATACAGTGCCAAGCAGGTCCGTAAACCCCATCAAACTCCTGCAACATCCAAATATATTCATCAATCAAAAACTGCTAGCAAACCCATTAAACTTACTAGAACCCTAATCATATCTATAATTGATTTCAGGATTTGGTCGTTTCTTGTTACCTTCTTGAGTGTGCAAGCAAGTGCCCTGCAGCTGAACTTCTCGAGGCTATCAGAGGCCTTCCTTGCACAGTCCACAGCATGAATCTGCATAAAGGGTGGCATGTCCACTGCAACAACTCTCACTCCGCTGCTCGCGAAGACATCACTCAGCTCAACCTGCACACCACCGAAGGACCTCCTCCTCCTACCGCTCGCCACCGCTGAAGACGTTGAACTCCTCCTCCCACCATCAACAGCATCCTCGCGGCACTTCCTCAACTCCTCCTCCTCCGCCACCAACAGAGCCGAGAACTTGACCATGTCGATCCCATCTCGAGACACCTCAACCTTACTCTTCTCCTTCTCAAATGCCCTAGCTTCCCCGACCCCATCCTCCCATTCTCTGGCCAATTTCTTCACCTTCACTGCACCATCGCCCTTCGTCTTCTTGCCCCGCTGCTTCCCCGTTTCTTGACTTCCCTTCCCTTGCCTGGCCGCGACCGAGCAAGAAGAGAACTTGGAGGACTCGAAGTCTGCAGATTTATGCAAGGCCTTGGCTTGCAAGAGGACGTCTCTAGCAGCTGCAGAGCTTAGACTGGTGGGCTTCTGGGAAGTTGCGATCTTCGGCACGTCGAAGGGCGTGGAGGCAATGGTGGGATCTGGGTCTTTGGCTACGGCTCTGCTGGTGGCGAAAAGTGCTTGCTTTGGGTGCTTCCTGAGGGTGTTTTGAGTCCGCGCTTGGACCTCTGTGGCTGCCAAGTCGCGCCTGTGCTTGGTGTGGTGTGCCATGGAGGCGTTGGTGGCTAGAGAGAGAGAGAGAGGGGATGAGAGAGAGGGGCTGTGTTGTTGGTGTTGGTGTTGGGAGGAAAATGTGTGGGCAGTGACGGGTGAGAGACAGGAGAGAGAGAGAGAGAGAGAGAGGGTGGGGTTCAATGGATGGGGACATGTCTGGCTCAGATCCGTCGCTTCTTGCCTTGTTCTAAAATGCGCCGGAGGAGGAGGAGGAGGAGGATGATGGGTCGGTTGCCGGTGATTTGTTTGACCGTTGACCTTGATCTGTCCAGAGGGCGGGCATCGGGTGCGCCCGGGCGCACGATAAGCTTCGATGAGCCCGTCTTCCTGAGCTCGGGGGAGCCTCTGTGGTTTGCTGGTCAGACTAGCATTCCATGAGCTCTGCTGAGCACATTAGCTATGAGAATAATAGGGCTCTGGCCATTATAGCAAGACATGAAACGATTGTTTTCCTACTAAACTTAATGGGTACATTAAAAAACTACAATACGTTTGGTCGTCCGGATTTTTAAACATGATAAGACTGGATATGATAGGATAAGAAATCCTGGGATTTCTTCATATTCTATCCACTGTTTGGTGGACTACGGATTTAAAGTCGGATAGGATAAATTTTTTTTTTTTTTTGCTATTCACGGGTCCGGAGGAGTCGGTGAAGGAAAAAAAGCCGAGAAATTTTTTTGGTGAAAACGCACAAGGTGTGAGGATGAAGATGACGGCGAGTGGAGCGTAGGGTTTCTGGAAAAATAGACATTAGAAATCCTATCCAGGTCTATCCCACCCCCCTCGGATTTTTTTATCCAGTCTATATCCGACCTTATCCTATCCTGAACCACCACCAAACATAGGTAAGGATAAAACATATCCTATCCTGGCTTTTATCCGGTCGACCAAACGCAGCCCAAGTATATAGTTATATAGATAGGTCGGATACTACTACCGATATGTATGACGCATCACTTTATAGAAGAAAATAGCATTTCCTTATGCGCGAGGAAGAGCGACGATCTTTTTCTTCATTAATCGGACAAATTGGGTCGATTTTGCTTACGTCCTCACTTCCTATTGATGACGATATGATGCTATTTGATCGATGGGAAAGTAGACCTCTCGGAATTGTGATGAACAAATTGCATGTCTTCCATGAACATTAAATTCATTAAGAGTGAGCGCTTTCAAGGTGAGTTGATTTCAGACCTGAAATTTGGAATCTACCCTTATATAATCGGTTATCAATTTTTGAAATCTGAAACCTACCCTATTTTTCCGGTCCAGAGTCTACTACGGAACTATGATGGACAAATTGTACGTCTTTCAAGAACATTCGATCCATTCGGGTTGATAAATAAGTAGCTTCCAAACCTGAAACCTACCTTATTTTCCCGGTCCAGCTCAAGGTCTATTCAAGATCCTTTTTTAATTTTGTTTCTTTTTTTGGTTTTATAGCAAATTAATATAAGCAACAAAACAGTTCAAAGTAAAAGAGAAACAACATAAATCTTCTTATTGCCAAAAGCAACAATCCATTAGATGAACAGGTGGTCATGTACAATTATAAACGATAAAAAGCTCAAAACACGTACCAAAAAACATAAATTATAAAACCTCATTCCTCATTCATCCATAAAAATATTACTCTAAATTCTAACCACCTAAAAACAAAATAAACAATATAGTCAATCACTTAACGATAGTTTAAGTGAGGGCAAACAAAACAAACAATATAGTCAATCACTTAACGATAGTTTAAGTGAGGGCGTGTCGAGAACAAGCGAGGGTTGCGAGGCTCAAACGAGTGATGACAAGCTGCAAGCGCGCGAGGAGGGTGGTGAATTGCAAGTAAGAGAGAGTCTTAGAGAGAACATAGAAAAAGAGAGAAAGAGAAAAAGATGTCGATAAATAGATGTCAAGAGAAACAATAGAGTTTTTAGACTTTGAGAAACCGGTTCCAAAATATATTCGGTTGGTCCGCTTCTCCGGTGGTTCTTCACTTGGAACCGACTGAAACCGAACAGGTTTTCAGGATGGTCCGGTCTTATTCCGAGTAGGACCGGTCCGGTTGCACAGCCCTAAAATCCATGCTGCAAAAATCCGTCGCCCTCCTTTTGTATATTCTCTCGATCCCACGAATCTGTCATCTCACGTTAAGGAGATTTATAAGGAAGGTGTGAGATGACCGCGATGCAAAGTTTCCGAAAGCAATGTCTGACCTTCTAATAATTTAATTGTATTAAGGAAGAGACTGACGCTAAATGCATGTTCATGACATCAGATAAGTAAACGAGGAGGGCTTTACGTGACCAATGAGATGAGACTGATAAAGGCATCAGCAATATTAGAGAGCAAAGAACCACATGGGTAGTTAAGATGTATGCTGATAACTCACAATCATACCCCCTTGTGCTAACTTACAAGAACAATGTCAAAGTTTTGCCATAATCGAAGAACAGCACTCGCCGTCCAAAAATGACGCGGGCTTAAGAATCGATCGAATTTATCCGCCCTTATGCTTATAGAACTAATGAATAACGGAGTGCCGGCAATAAAAGGGAAAGCCAAGCAGTCTCATACGCATAGAAAATGCAGTTCAGTAGAGAGGGAGAGAACAAATCCGGCTTAACTCACCACTTCTCGATAAGCAGGCGTGCAGCAGCCATTGATCAAGTCACCCGCGCTGCTCCTAAATTGTAGTTCATGCAGCAGGGTACAAGTTTGCCACTCTCTGACCTCATCTGCAGGCACAGTTACGAGCAGATAGTCTCGAAGCGTGGACTTTAAACCCTTCATCCAAAAGGCTTTCTTGGATTCCCGACCGAAAGCTTTTACATAAGAACGTGATTCAACACTCGTGATAAACAAGAAATGTATTGAATCTTCAGCTCCCCTGATAAATAAGAAATGTTTTCCTATCTAAGTCTGAAAAATTATAAGGATTAGACAAACTGGAAGCCCTCGGAAACAACTAAACACCACAGCAGTCACCTTTTGACGCACCAAAGCAGGTTACCTGACAACCAAGCAAGTAGTGTTAGTTGACAAATACAATCATAAACAAGGGTTCCACGCCGCCAATTAAGTTTCTAGAAATTAAAGCTCTTTAGCATTTCACTGCATCTGATCATCTTACAACACTGGCTCAATCAGGACAGCAACAAGTCAGTAAGGTCCAATCAAGTATCCAAATCAAGAAAACTACGGACTATCATCCCGCCACTAATTTGGAGGAATCCCCTAAACTAACACTATGAAATCGGCTCAGGTCCTTGGTGGATATAGCCAATTACAAATTTACACAATGAATGGAAAGAACAGTAAATAAAGCTCAATGCATCTAGTGAAGCTTGTAATTTCTAATTCCACGGACTAGGTAGTCGAGCATCCTTGAAAACCGAAGTGCCACCAGATGCTGCTGGAGATGGTGAGGATGCAACATAATTTGTTCCTGAGACAGAAACTGCAGGAAGATTTGCTAGATTAGCTTGGGGAGCGGGGAGAGCAAAGCGGGATGGACTACCACTGACGGCTAAGCTTGATCGGGAGGGATGTGGAACCTGCAAGCAAAAGTATGCACCAGATATTATGGTTCTCTCTGGAATTATATGAACTTCGAATTCTAGTGTCTGGATTTGTACTTGAGACAACTTTAAATTCACTCGATACGGGAGCTCCCTGTAAAGTTTTACATAATGATCCAATCGTAGTTATCAAGATGATATACATCCTTCATCATGTCTTCCTCTTATAAGAGCAAATACTACATCACAAGGACAGCATTCCCCCTCTTGCTAAGGAGGATAATATGTGCTCCAACCTGTTTCCTTTCTTTCTTACCTTTTTGGAGAAGGTGAGAGGCTGAGAATTTAAAATCCCATTGAGTGCCACTGCCTTTCAAAACTGCCCGCATCATATCATAGCTAATGCACCATATAAGTTTACTTCTCACATCTTCAACATCTCCCCATTATACCCTCTCATCATTGATTACTATGCAGTTTTGGCCAGCAACGAAAAAGGATGAGCTTGTACAATTTCAAATTTCATATAATGTGACGTATAAACAAAAAAAAATAAATCAGAAACAGCAACTTTTTAATGGCTGCCTCAATTACTATTTAGCATATAATCACCACCAGGCACTAATGTGCTTCTATGTTTACATACACATTCAATAGCTCCTATACCAAGGGACCAAAACTCTCAAAAGCAAACCCAACTTTTTCTTTCATAAAATAATTGAAAGTAAAAAGCCGAATGTTATAATTTCTACATACAGATTGGTTAAGAAAGTCCATTAGCATTGGAATAACCCAGTAAAGCTCATGCAGAAAGAGTTGTAATTCCGATTCTTCTTTCCTGATCATTCAAAATTTTCATTTTCCATTTTGTGTAATGAAATTTTAGAGACACATCCAATAAGGAAAAGCTGCCATAAGACTATCGAAACAGAATGGTGGACAGAGAAAACTATTCTGGAAATATAGAGTCACTAACAGCTTTTCCTCACTCAGTTACTTGTGGTTTTCCAATACCACGTCAAAGTTCAATCTTAAAATGTTGAGTGAGCATCAACAATGCTATTAACTGATCTGTGCTAAATCATCCTGTTGCACGACTTGTTTCTCATCTATCCGAATATCAACCTTAGCTATCAAACACGTGCTTGTAGCTGCCTCCCTATTACAAATGACAATTTCCCTGGGAGACCATTTGAAGTATTCCGTGTAGTTGATACAAAATTCTTTAAGATGGTTTGAATCAGAGATATGGTTGTGATAAACAATAGATGTATTTAACTAAAGGTATATTTAGTCAAAACATTTTCAGAAACAGCGTAGGTTGTAAATTTGCAGTCTGAATATTCAGCTTTCCCTTGGTAAGAAAACCCAATCAGACATACAGTTTTGTAGGTGTAGCTCTAAACAAAGAGCTAACTGAGTCATTCCCTGGTCTCAAGCAAACAGGTATAATGCAAAAGATTAGTAATTCAGAGAAACATGGCTGTTCATACCAAATTGTACTGCGACAAGGCAGTCCTTCTAAGAGGGGACTCCGAAGATGGTGACACGCTGCTCATGCGATGCATAGGCCGAGAAGGCATGATATGATTTGAGGCATCATCTGCTTCTCCCCCTTCCGCATCACCGCCAAGGTGGGCCTCGGAGCCCATTCTAGGGGTATTAAGCCTGGTCATTGAGCCAGAGTCATTCATAACATCCACATGAAGTGGAACAGATGGCCGAACAGCCATTCCTTGCATGCTCCTCCTCTTCAATTCCTCTTCTGCATTCAGGATCTACCGGCAAAACACATTAGTTCTCTATCGGCAAATCATGCATTTGTCTAGTTTCGCTGCGAAAAGAAGAAGAAGTCCACTCACCTGCTTCAGAACTTGCACTAAACTATGTTTCTTGGCATTCAAAAGTTCCAACTTCTCCTCAACAGCCTTCTTCCTTTTCTCTTTGTCGGTTGGTGGATCGACTTTATCCACAGCCTAGCAAGTAAAAGTACATCAAATTCTATCAGTCACTTGAATAGGTGGATAGAAAGTACACAGCCTTGCAAATGGTAATTCTCCCGAGGTTCGGACAGATACGAATTTTCATATTGCAACTAATCAACGCCAAATTCACCATAAAGAAACATCCTTTTTAGTTCCAGCGCATATTCTTTCAGACAACAAGCAATTGAACTATGTCTCTCCCTTCGAATTATGCGAGAAGGATGGAAAAACTCAATAGCCAAAGCTAAACTCCCGTACCTGCACCGCATCCTTTACCGGCTCCTCCACCTTCTCGGCAGGCAAGACTTGGACACCTCCACCGCCATCGACGGACTTGCCCGCCCAATCAGGCTTCGCTTCCGGCGAACGATTCGCACCGTCGACGGCTTCTCTATGGTCATCAACCTCTTCCTTCAAGGCGACGCCGCCCTGCGAGGTCCCTTCGCCGCGAACCTCGACGCTCCCTTTCTCCGCCTTGAGCTCGAGCGGAGGCCGGCCGTCGCTGGGGAGGCCCGGACCAGAACCAAGGTCAGGAGCTCCTTTCTCCGCCTCGGGCTCCAGCGGGGGCCGACCGTCGTCGAGGAGGCCCGGACCGGAACCGAGGTCGGGAACCGCCGGAGGGATCGACGCGGAGGGGGCGCGAGAGAGGGCGCGAGAGCGGCGGTGGAGGAGGGACTTGAAGTCCTTGGGGGAGAGGTTGCGATCGGGCATGAGCCATCGGCGAGGGACGTCGGGCACCCGGTGGAGGTTCCCTCTGTACAGGGAGATCGCCACCATTTTTCTGGGGTTGCCGGAGCCGGTCGAATCCGCCGCTTCCTTCTCCTCCGATGAGGTCCCCGTCGCGGCGGCGGCGGCGGATGGAGAAATCGCGAACCGATTTACGAGTTCGCCTGCGAGTTCTTCTTTGAATCCCGAAAGCTTAAGGCGTTAATGGTCGTCCTGGGCGGATCTTGGCGGTTCGACCGCTCAGCAAGAACCGGACCGGTCCAGGCCGATCCGGCCCAATCACAAATACTTCTTCCAGAGGGTGGCAAACAAATATATCCTATCCGGCATTTGGAGTTCGGGACCGGAAAAAGCCCGGAAAGATCCCGAACGAAGCTCCGATCGAATATCTAGAATACCACTAAAGCCGACTCTTGTCCCTGCTCGATAAATGGTTCTTATAATCGAGCTCCCTTCTACCTTTTGCGCTCGAGGGCCGATCTCGGTTCGGCTCGGGGAAACCTTTTTCTTGGAGGCTAACGCCAATAGAAACTGTCTGCTGGAGACCATCTTTGGCTTGTAAGTACCTTGAGTGTCGGGGCCACTGCTTAAGCTGCTAGCGGCCGTTGATTGATCGTTGTGGATCTCATCTCATCAATTTTGTGATGCCCACCGAAATCCGATCTCACCGTTATGCAACAGTGTTAGGTGATTGCGGTAACAAAGGTGACTGTTCCGAAGGTGGCTGTTGTTGATTCTGTGACGCCTCATAATATCATATGTGACACGTGTATTTACCGATTATAATTCATAATTATAATTACGCATGCGGTAGCACAACCAAATTTTCGCCACCTCCCTTATAAGAAAATCACACGAGTTCAGTTAATGAACATATGCCTCATTATTTATATTAAACATCAATTTTACAATTTTACTACATCGTCCAAGCAAAATACAAATATCATAGGAAAAAGGTCGGGTCAATTGGCGTCTCTACACCAATACTAACCCAAAAGCATACCTGAACATTAACCAAGCTATCATCCAACTCAAGGGTTGATGGCTTTCGGCATCATCTCGTTCCCACCATCGTCATGTCCAAAAGGGACCATCCTACAAATCTGAAATGGCACGTGGGGCATCCAAATTTCGGGCATCGTCGCCACTAACACGTGGGCGACTGAATTTGCATTTCATAATACTTTCCACATGTGCATAACATTTTTTTCATTCGAAATACACTTTCGTTGCCCTTTCAACAATCACAAGATGATAACATGATTACCTCCTTTCATTTCTCATGAAAGTAATGATAAAAAATAATTGCGTGTGTTTCAATACCAATGCCCTCTTTCTTATTTTATCACACATTCATCAACGAAATGAAATACCGTAGTCAAACAATCGAGTAAGGAAACAACATGGGATTATATTCAGAAACCAGATATAAACAGCAAGGAAGTATGTTCGGGCAATTGAATATACTCATTAAGTGAATATATATCGTAAGTGAATACGATCAAATGAATGATTATATTCAGACAAGTAAATATATTTTGGAAGTGAATCTGATAAAACAAATGAATACATTCAGACCTACGAATATACCAATAAGTGAATATATTTATAAAGTGAATCTGATCAAACAAATGACTATATTCAGACAAGTGAACATGCTAAGTAAGTGAATATATTCGTGAAGTGAATCTGATCAAACAAATGAATACATTCAGACAAGTGAATATATTCGGAAAGTGAATCTGATCAAACAAATGAATATATTCAAACAAGTGAATACTCAGTAAGTGAATATATTCACAGAGTGAATCTGATCAAACAAATGACTATATTCAGACAAATGAATATACTCGGTAAGTGGAATACATTCAGGAAGTGAATCCGATCAAATAAGTGAATATATTCAGACAAATTAATCTGATCAAACAAATGAATATACTCAACAAGTAAATACATTCCAAAAGTGCATCTGATCAAAGTGATTATGATCAAACAAGTGAATATATTTAGAAAAGTGAATATGATACGTTTAGGAAGTGAATCTGATACATTTAGGAAGTGAATCTGATCAAACAAGTGAATATATTCAAACAAGTGAATATGATCAACAAATTAAGATAGATATTACCAACGATGGTTGAATCTGAAATTAAAAAGATAACATCGATTCATCATTTTCAAGTACAATATGTTACTACACCTTAAGAAAACCAATCAAACACATATCGAACAAGTGAATTTGATCAACAAATTAAGCTAGATATTACCAACGACGGTTGAATATGAAATTAAAAAGATAACATTTCCAAGCTTAGAGTCATCATTTTCAAGTACAATATGTTACTACACCTTAAGAAAACCAATCAAACACCTTTAGGCATGTACATAATCAACAAGATAAATCAAACAATTACAATACCTTTACAATACTATTGCACATACTCACACTTAACGTTAGATTTAACCCAAAATCAAAATTTGCACACAACAAACAACAAAGTCTAGAACACTAAGTAGATTAATCTAACTCAACGCCTAGAATTTTCACTTACTTCAAATAAACTTGAACAATCAAATGCCTTAACCACCTCGTGATTCTTGATAGATAAAATCCAAGATCAAAAGTTAGAAGAAATTTTCTTTTGAAAATTGAAGGTAAAGTGATATGGCCGAGGTGAATTTGAGTATAATATTACTAAAGTTGAAAGATGAATGACTTGGAGTAACATTCCTAGATGTAAGATGGCCTTCAGTTTAGAGTTACATGTGGTAAAGTCTAATCTATTATATGGCCAAGTGGAATGGGATCAGAATATAAGAGTGTTGACTAATACTAAGGGTGATGATGGCTTAGTGTTAGGTGCCAAAATTAGTATAAGAGTCTCAATCTGAAAGTGACGCTTGGCCTCATGCACTATTAAAACGATAAGTGAGCATTATGTGTCCAAACTTTAGAGAACAAAAGGCTTAACATGAAATATTTTTAAAGGACAAGTGGCTAACATGTGTCTTAATATGGGTAGATAAGAGGGTGACCATATATTGAAAGAAATCCCTCACTTCGGCCAATGAATGATTCTCCATTAATGTAAGTAAATTATGATTAGTAATAATTAACTAAGGTTAAAAATAAATAATATAATCCATGACACTTGAATTTACCAAAATTATTAGTAAATCATACCGAATGCTGGGAAAATCTCGATTTAGTAAATTCAAACTCGATAATCATTAAAAATATAATTCGAAAAATATCCGTCCCCATCGATAACTAAGATGACGGTAAATTAATTTACATCGCTCTAGCCATCATCATATACATCAACATTTATCAATTTAATTTCAACACGTCGGACTCGGGATGATTACGTTCGCAGCAAAATCAGTCTCTGTGGTTCCGATGCTTCGCAAAATTTAAGATCCAACTAAGATTTTTACGTGTCCACCCGATTTCTAAGCTAAATAATATTTAGCTTTATAACCTAAGCATTGTTTTTGGACACAGAAAATTCTGGATGTCACGGACTCTCTTTTAGGAACTAGTTATATATCGGCAGAATCTCTCTTGTGCAATTGAGGCGGTCGTCTGGTCACAGCCATAGAATTTCAATGTTTTTTTCTGAGCTATTTATTTAATTTTTATCATCTTATCACGTATTAAGCAACAACATGTAACACGTCATATTAGATATTTTCATAATAAATGGTGAATTACACCACAAGTAAATTATGGATGAAATTAAATTGCAGTCCAAACCTTTCAATGGCTCAATCAAGTCTTGTGATTTTACCAAAAAATGTAATCGAGTCGTAAGTTCAATTAAGCCGCAATCCAACCGAGTCCTATGCTTCTCGCATTTAAAAATTTGATAGTCATCTCCTGCACCATCATATCCAACTACCTAATTATTTTTCATGCATAATTTATATATACTACGGGGTCTTTTTATAATTACGTTTTTATCTGTTACCTGATTATAACCGATCACTCTTCCAATATACATGGCAATTAACCCTAATTGGGGTTGATCCACCACACACACTATGTCGTAATTTTCTACCTCACCCTAAACATCAACAATTACTACCACAAAACACTTGACATCTTCAAAGTTTGAAGACATTATGTACTAGCGCTTGGGCATGTGTTAGCACACGCGTAGTTAGGTGATCGTGAGAGGAGAAAAAAAAAATGAGTCGCTAACTAATCACGTAAAGAAGCAGTCGAAGTTAGATGGTAGCGGAAACATGTTAACCGTGTCTTTTTCCCGTCTTTTCATTATTCACTACAAGAGAAATCGCAAAAGAAAAAAAAAGAAGGCGAGACGAGCGATACTTTCAACTTAAAACAAATCGATATGTACATCATTTCGTGCAATCAAATCGATAATTTCTCATCAATTTGTCACTTATCACTCTTGCAATCATGCATGGTCGGTGCCCTAATCCATCTTTGGTTAGAAAAAAGTGTTGTTCATCCGTCGAAGAAGAGGAATAGTCATCGGAATAAAAAAAACGACGTCGTTATTCTCGAACTTTAGGAGAAACGACCCGTGTTCATTGACGTACGGAGCGTTTCGCCTCTCTTTCTTTATATGTTTTTGTTCAGTTGTTGACCGTCTTCTTCGCTCGCCTCTAACTCTTTATCTCTTGGCGAAAGAGGAAAACGGCGCCCCGTTTTCTGAAACGTCCTTGTCTTTCATTTAACACGCTTTTTCAAAGGAAAGTGATTGCACTTATCAAGATAGGTCAATGATTTGATAAAATAAATAATTTAAAAAATATTTTTTTGAGAAATGATCGCTTATAAAAATAAATAAACAAAAGATATTTTCATTGTTTATGAAAACATTTAGACACGAACGATTGTCGATAATGAAAACATTTTTTATCAACTAATTATTTCGAGCGATATCGATGATCGTTTTTTAAGATTATATTTTCAAACGGACCCTCAAACATCGCCTCCTTAATCAAATCACATTACAATGACCAAAGTAACCGAGGTACTCGGTGCTAGGTTATTGATGCGAGGGAGAATCCGACTGCGAAGCTGATTCGAGACATGAACGTCGCACATCCGACAGTCTGTACTCGTGTGTCGCACATCCGACAGTCTGTACTCGTGTTCGTCACGACTGTGAATGTAAAAACAGGCTCATAATATACGGGAGCTTACAGTTAGGGGTGTCGACATTTTTCCTTTTTTGGGAAATTAGGAAAAATAGCCATATCCCAATTCAATTCTCTTCTTTTACGATCGCTCCTTCAAGAAAGACCCTTTCAATTGTCAACGATATTCCTGTTATCCTTAACAGTGGATGCAACAATAATCCCATATCTACATAAGCACATAGTACGATTCTCGACGTTTTTCCTTTACAGGAAATTAAAAAAGAAGAAGCAATATCCCAATTCAATTCTCCTTTTACACGGTCACTCCTTTGGGGAAAAGACCTTTTCGTTCCCGAACGATACCGTGTTATCCCGAACGCGACGGACGCAACAATAATCCCATAATTAACATAACCTCACGGTACGATTCGCCGTCCCGTCCCTTCGGGTGAGTCTTCCCCTTTGGGTGTTAGGTTGGTGTTCGCTGGATGGGGTCGTCGCGTTAAAGTGATTCTTGCACCCAGATTGGCTCGTTCGTTTGATTGCGTGCTCCTCCCGTTCTCTCGGGTGCACGATTGGTCGATTCTAGTTGCGTTCTGCTCGTTCTCATTGTTTCGGGTGTAGTTTGGGGTAAAGGGGTTACGGTGTTGTAATTCGTGATTATAGTGCTAGTGTTGCGTGCTTTGAATTTCAAGCGATGTTTAAGGTGCGACAGTGGTGTTGCTTGGCTTTTGATTTTCGTATCCAGCGGGATTACATTGGGCTGAATTCTTGGTTGAGTGTTCAAATTCGGAGCTTTTGCAATGCTCTCGGGGTTCTTTGCTGTAACTTTCCCCCAAATTCCTGCTTTACCTTTATTGACAAGACTTTCAGCATTCACTGAATCTGGTTGCTTCTGTTTTCTCGTTGCATTATGCGGAATGCAGTTCTGCCACACAGATGCCATCTAGCTTGAGTAACGATGAAGCTGCAGACACAAGCTCTTCGCTAGGGTAGGAATTCTACAGTTGATGGGTGGTAGAAAGCGTAGCAATCGACTGATTTTTCCGCAGGAAGAAACAACAATTGTCAAGGCCCATCTACTAACAAAAATGTAGATGGGGTATCTATAGTTGGAAAGAGAATGTCCATATTAGCCGCAAAGGCCAGCTTATTGTTTTGTCAACGAAGCCTTATCAATGTACTTAGCCCCTTTCTGTTCTATCTTTTGTATCATTTCAATAATGATTAGTAAACCTCTAAACACGAACCCGAACCGATCCGAACCGAACCGAACCCGACCCGATTGTCTTTGCTATATCATGTTCGAGGTCTTGTTTGGTGTGCGATAGCTCACATATATTCATTGTTTCGGGTCGGGTCGGGTATCATGAAAACCCGGCCCGACCCGACCCGTTGACACCCCTACTTACGAGTACGGTTCTCGACATTTTTCCTTTTTTGGGAAATTAGGAAAAATAGCCATATCCCAGTTCAATTCTCTTCTTTTACGATCGCTCCTTCAAGAAAGACCTTTTAAATTGTTAACGATATTCCTGTTATCCTTAACAGTGGATGCAACAATAATCCCATATCTACATAAGCACATAGTACGATTCTCGACGTTTTTCCTTTACAGGAAATTAAAAAAAGAAGAAGCAATATCCCAATTCAATTCTCCTTTTTACACGGTCACTCCTTCGGGGAAAAGACCTTTTTCAATCGCGAACGATACCTGTGTTATCCCGAACGTGACGGACGCAACCATAATCTCATAATTAACATAACCTTACTGTACGATTCTCGACATTTTTCCTTTTTCGGGGGAATTAGGAAAAAAAATCAAGTATCCTAATTGAATTAACCAACTACATATTTCCTTTTTCCAGAGAGAGGGATAAAAAAGAAGAAAACAACAAGAAAAGAATTTTTTTTTCTTCCGGAAAAAGGAAAACGAAATAAATGCTGTCGAATTTATCCAAAAAAAAAAAAAATTCCAATTTCTTGGCTCCCCCCCCTCCATCTTCTTCTTCAACCTCCAGCCGAACGGCTCTATATAAACCCCCAAACCCCAAACTTACAAAAAAAAAAAACAACAGCAATAATACCAGCCAGCGACGCCCGAACTTTCTCTCTCTAGAATCGCGCAGGGGGAAGCTTTCTCTCTCTATCTCTAGGAGAAAGCGCAGGGGTGGGGTGGGGTGGGGGGAACGCGGAAGCTTTCTCTCTCTAGGAGAAAGCGCAGGGGGGGAGCTTTCTCTCTCTAGGAGGGACGAGGGCTTTCTCTCTCTAGGAGGGAGGGGGGAGGGAGATGGCGGACACGTACTGCAGGGACTGCGGGAAGCAGACGGAGGTGGTGTTCGACCACGCGGCGGGGGACACGATCTGCTCGGAGTGCGGCCTGGTGCTGGAGGCGCACTCCATCGACGAGACCTCCGAGTGGCGGACCTTCGCCAACGAGTCCAACGATAACGACCCCGTCCGCGTCGGCGGGCCCTACAACCCCCTCCTCACCGACGGCGGACTCTCCACCGTCATCTCCAAGCCCAACGGCTCCTCCGGCGAGTTCCTCAGCTCCTCCCTCGGCAAGTGGCAGGGCCGCGGCGCCAACCCCGACCGCAACCTCATCCAGGCCTTCAAGTCCATCGCCATCATGTCCGATAGGTAAACGCCTCGAATTCTCGGCGTTGCGTTCGTGGGTTCCGTCGTGGGTATGCGGGCGACTGGCTCTTGTTGCTGTATCTTCCAATTTGTTGTTGTGAATTGTGAGAAATTTTAGGAAGAGCAATGGCTCTGGGTAACGATGATGTGAATTCTTTAAGCTTGTATGAGCTTCAGCTTCTGCTGTTGCTAAGGGCAAGGTGGGGTGCATTTGACGCTTCTCGTGTTAGGGTATGGAACTATAGATCTGCTTGGTACGGTCAGTGTCAATTCAATCTCCCGGACTTGGGCATGGCTTGTGTTTGATTTGTCTTGTGCAAGCTCTGGGGCATTTGCTCTCCTCTTCCCTGTATAATAACTATGGTCTTTCTTGAGGTAACTGGTGTAATTTTGTTGTTTCAGGCTAGGACTCGTTACGACGATAAAGGTATGCCAGTTCTATTTTCTTGCTTCTCGAGGGTATATGCTGCGATCGCTGAGAATGCTAGTAACTTTTCTGAACAATGTCGGGTTCGGAATTACTTGTCTTTCTGTTCTAGCCCGTTTCGGTGGTTTATTTTTCTGTTAAACAGGCTCGTGAATTTGGCTCACAGGACCGGGCGAATGAGATATACAAGAAGGTGGAAGATCAGAAACCTCTGAAAGGACGGAATCTTGATGCGATATTGGCTGCTTGCCTCTATATCGCTTGCCGGCAAGAGAACAAACCTCGCACAGTGAAAGGTAATTTTCGTGTTGTATTTGCTTAGAAGTAGACTCCTGGGCTGTAAATTATCTGAACGTGTAATGTGTCAATCACGACTAGAAATATGCTCTGTCGCCAATGGAGCTACGAAAAAGGAAATTGGCAGAGCAAAAGAGTTCATAGTAAAGCTGCTGGAGGGCGAGATGGGTCAATCCGTAGAAATGGGAGCCATACATGCTGCAGATTACATGGTATGCTTCTTGGTGGAAAATAAGGGTCTTTTTGCTGCTCCCACTTGCTTCTACTTTTTTCTTTCAACTTCTTGAGCGAGAGAGTCGAGCCATTGATTTTTTCTGTGAACCCTTAGAGACGTTTCTGCTCTAATCTTGGAATGACGAATCAAGAAGTTAAGGCTGCCCAGGAAGTTGTCCTGAAGTCTGAAGAGCTTGACATAAGGTCAGATTTTCTTGTATTTATGTTGATAATTTGTGTTTGGCAATTGGCAAGTTTTTGCTCTCTATCCAGAAAAAAAGGAAAACTTAGAAGAAAGTTCCGGGTTTCTAAATGCAGAAAATTTAAGAGGCCCAAATTTTATTTTGTTTATCACTGATTTCTGTATGCATCTAGCTAATGGCTGAATAATCAAAGGTTGCTTTTTCTCTGTTAGCGTCATGCATTAAATAGACAAACAGCTGTTTGTTATGAGATTCAGGTGCAAGGTACCTTTGGGCACACTGTAGATGGTCTTGTGCGTAGCGACCTTACGGTGCTTTTTTTTTTATGAGTTTTTGTGCCACAATTTTTTCAGAGGAAATGCATACCCCAAAGTATGCGCTATGGCTTGTTAGAATTTTCTAGGCACATGTATGCAATAACTTTTTGGCAGAAGAGTTGGGACCATCTTACTAGTGTTCACACGATTGTTCTCATCTGTATAAGTACTTATTCTCAATCTATGCAGGAGGAGCCCTATATCCATTGCAGCAGCCGTTATCTACATCATAACTCAGCTGTCTAGTGACAAGAAGCCTCTTAAAGGTTGGAAAGCTCAAGACTTCTGGGTTATGATTCATGCACGTGCTAATACCGCGTCAATGACTGAACATAAGATAAATGGTCATAATTGCAGATATATCAGTGGCCACTAGAGTAGCCGAAGGGACTATTAAGAATTCCTACAAGGATCTTTACCCTCATCTGTTGAAGATAATTCCCAGCTGGTTTGCCAAGGAGGAGGATCTCAAAAACCTCTGCCACCCTTGAAATGCGTCCAAGGTGATGATTATGCTTCACTCCAGATTCTTTGAAATTTGATGCTGCTCTACTTATCTGGGCATTGGAATTCGATTTCTTAGCGAATTCAAGCCGTATCGCAATAGGTGTCCTCAGCAAGTGCTGCGACAATGTTCCAGGAGGAGGTGAAATGGAAGACGAAGTGCAGAAATTCGTTCTGAGATACCGACATGGGTAATGGCTAGAGGAAGAAGGGGCTTAAGGCAGATAAATTTTGTACATGACTAGGATCTTCTGTATGTACCAAGACCCTCCTGGTTCTTGGTTTACTGCAGATCTCTCGTATATCGCTAGGGAAGATATCTTAAATGCTGTAACTGTTAGGTCCTCTAGGCAAAATAATTTTTCAGCATAGTCTCGATTGTAGTGCTCTTTCTCTTGAAGCAATTCAATGTCAGTGCCTCGTCACCTCCAATCTTTGGACTGAAATATGTAAAATCCCTACACACACGGCCCAAGTTTCCTGTCCCAACATGAGTAATTAGTAGGATGTCGGCACAAATAATCTCCTCACTTTAACTCAATATGTAATTTAATTTTTGAATTTTTAACTTATTAAATATAGTTCTTAAATTTTAGCCTAATGTCAATTTTTAATTTGTTTAATGTGATCTTTGAATTTTTGGTACATGTTTAATTTAGTTCCTGAACTATATAAAGATATTTAATGTGAATAGTTCAAGGATTTAACATGTACCAAAAGTCTAGGGATTTAATTAAACAAATTAAAAGTTCAGAGACAATATTGAATATTAGAAAAAAAGTTTAGGAACTACATTGAATAAATTAAAATTTTAGGCATCAAATTGCTTATTTAGTCAAAGTTCAGGATTGCACCTATTTGGTTCAGCATTTTCAAGGGGTTTTTTGGCCACGAAAGTCTCTTGGGGAAATGCTAAGGCGTTTGGCAAGCATTCATGGGCTTTCGAACTAGCTTTGGGGTTTCAGAATTTGCCAAATGTTGAAATCAATTTTTTTCTTTTCAAATGACCCTAACTTATTCTTTAATATTCCGGTTTTGCCTTCATTGTTACTGTTCATCTTCTTTGCGCAAGGGTAGCTGGTGAGGGTGGCTGACGACACCGGATCTGGCTGGCGAAGGGCCGACGAGGTCGCTTGAGGTCATGCGACGGCCACCGATGCCAAATCTAGCTTGCTGACGGCCGTGGCCCTTCGCCGAAGCCGGCGAAGGGTAAGCTTTTTTTTTTTAATAAAAAAGAAAATCCCAAAGCCTTTTGCAAAATAAAAAAAATAGCCCAATACTACAGCAAGAACCAAACGAGCCCTTTGTCTTTTTCCCTGATCAGTAATAATTTTGGCTCAGTCCCAAAAACGCACCCACCCCCAAAGTTCTCTACATGATCTTCTTCCCTCGTGCATTTTGAGGGTTCAGATTGAGATACCTTGTCGGCGCGCCGCGCAAGGTCCCGCCATTCCGATCGGCCACTATCTTATTGCTTTGCAACGCGTATCTAAAAGCACGATAAAGGGGGGGACAACCGATTCGATGGGCACGATAAATCCCAAGACATCGCTGCCATGTCGGTTAGTATTTTGTCACTCCATCGCGTCTATTCCCGTGGGACTGGGGACGAGATTTGTGTTGCTCGACTTCTGGAGATACAGGAGAAGGAGCGCTGGTTTGCACCTGGCCGTAGACTCCAAAACTGATGAGGGGTCGAACAGAGAATTAAGATCAAGTCGACGGAACTTCATTTTTTGTTTTGTCCACTTTAATCCACTCGTGAAGCTGGACCAAAATGAGGCCTACGCTCAAACAAGAGTCGGGGATGGAAAGTACAAATAAGTCCTAGTCAAATAGCAAGACTGCGTTTGGTCGTCCAGATTCGGATTGAGATAAGATAAAATAAATGAGGATTTAAAATCCTTCAAATATCGTTCGGATCGTAAAAATATCCAATCAAATATTTGGTGCAACCTAAGATAGGATTTGAAAATTTTGAAAATCTGCAACCTAAGAAAGAATTGAAAATCTTTTAAAATTCTTATAGTTGAAAATCATTGAAAATATTTCAATATCCCATATCTGCACGTGAGGACTCAAACCCTCTCAATCACTATCGTCAACAAGCAGTCTTCGGGAATCGGCCTCAGGAGCTTGACGACTTTCAACAGACATGACCTCTTCCATTAAGTAAAATTCCGAACCGAAGGCGATTTCTCTTTGGCGTTTCATAAACACTTGATGAACGCTTAGTTCAGAGTCCACCAAGAGAGAGATTGTGGAACAATGGAGGCCGAGAATGAGTAATTAAAGGTGAAGTAGAGAGAGGAACCAAGAGATCATGGTGGAAAATCTGGAAACCAACTAAGAAAGAGAGGGTGCCACAGATGAGGTGATGAGCACTAACCTTCCAAGTGAGCAGCGAGCAAAGGCACCATCAACCATTGAGGATACTCAAGGATGCCGGAGTGATGGAAAACCAACTGAGAAAAGAGAGGGAGTCACGGATGAGGTAATGAGCCATAGCCTTCCAAGTGAACAGCGAGTAAGGGCACCAGCGAGGATACTTGAGAACGCTGGAGTGAGGGACTGTCACGTTGGTCGCCAAAATGGTGGAGTGCCGTCGGTGAGAAATGCCTAGGACAGTGAGTCTCGTTTGAAGTGAGATTTTCCTAATGCGTGTTAATTTTTTAAATTTTACATTCAATCCAGATTTATCCCACTCCCTAACCCAGATTTCTTATCTGGCATTTTATTTAGATGTATTTGGGTTTATCTAATTTTGGAGAATGTCACCAAACATCGGATAAGATAACTTAACATCCTATCTAAACTCAAATCCGAACTAGCAATCACAACCCAAGAGTTATCAAATCTTTTGAATAAGAAAGACCTTGTCAAAACACTAAGAGGGAAGCTTTTTTTCTTTTTTATCATAACCACGTTTTCAACAGATACTGCTGGTTCGGCTGCATACCATCGAAACCCTATTCGCGATTGAGGCACATCCCCCTCAGGTCGAGCAGTTTTGGAAAGCATTTTGAGCTGGAGTCTCGAGCATCAAGCACATATCCATCAGCTTCAAAGTGCGAGAATCAAAATGCTAAAATGATGCACGAAGAAATGATGCCTTCAAAGAATAATTAGTTGCCTAACCAGAGAGGCTGGTGCTCTATTACACTGACGATAACTTCCTGAGGTGGTAATATGATTTTATGGATCCGACCAACCCTAATGCTAACGCGCAGATCATCGTAATGATCGCCAAAAATTAAAGAACTACAAGGGCATTAAAGCCTAAACATCAAAGCGACATCTTTCACATATAAGTTAGATGTTATTGTACATCGATTGGGCCAAGTCAACATCTCCCAACAAATCCCAATCCATCCTATGGATTTTTAAGAGAGTGGCCATACTAAAAAATGACTATCTAATCTACATAGCTCCCTACACCGTGATCCCACTGCCTGTCAAAGCAATTGCTCACTGTGGCAGTTGCTTTGGCTACGCCATAAGAGAAAATCTGATCATTAACTTCCTCTGCAGGCTCGATACAAAATTTATAGCACCTCAGATGGTACAATGAGCTTCCATCAGAAAGTAATACTAACCTTGCGGGAGCTTTACATATCATCTTCATCATCATCCTTCGTTTCAGGGTTAGGACCATCATCAAAGCCTGACCCAGGAGCAAGCTCATTGAGGTCAAGAAAACGTCTTTTTGGCTGATCAGCAACTTCCTCTTGGCTTGGGCTCTCAATTCTCTCAGCCAGCTGAATATCTTCTTTTACTGCTGTATTGGGGTGATTGGCAACAGGATGATCGACTTTGAGTTCCTGCTCATTACCATTCATTTCTGAATCTTGACTTTCCATTGAATACCCCTCACTCTCGGTTGCTTCTGATTGCTCATTGTTAGTATGCCACTTGTTAGGTTTTGCAGTCTCCACTTCAGATTCTGAGAGCTCATACTGTCGATAATTTATACGATTCCTCGTCGCCCTTTTACTACGTCTCAGACCTGACTGTAGATCAACCACCGATCTTAATTTGGTTTCCCTTCGTGTACGCCCAGGCAATTTCTTAGTCTTTCGAGGCTCATCGCTGTCCTCATCACTCATACCCAAGGAATGTTCCTCTTCCTCTTCCTCTTCCTCTTCTTCTGGATTTTCTTCATCCCAACGATACTCCTCATCTCCCTCAGAGCTACTGGACACCCTTCTTTGTTTGCGTTTCCTGAGATACTCCTCGTCATAAACAGCTTCTCCAACTATATCATCATCACTGTCAAAGTCTGCCTCATTATCCGATAGTGCTTCAACATAGTCTTTCTCCGAATATCTTTGAGGCCTCCGTCTTTGTCTGTAGCTGGGCGTAATTTTTTAGTGATGAATAAAATGATCAGTCAAAAGATATGATATAAAAACAGATTTTGACGTACCTTCGGTCCAAGGTTTCGGGTTTTTGATCATCATCCATGTCATCAAAATCAGGTGACCCAGGAGATACGGCGCTAAAACCAGTGTACGGAGAGGCATGCAAGAGTTCACTCCATTTACCATTTGCAGAAGCTTCAGGTTTGATGAAAGCACCTTCTCTTCGGTTGGTAGGTTCTGGTGAAGGCTGCTTACGCCTGAAAAGTACATGAGAATTGCCATTCCTAATCAGGTTCACTAACATGTACAACGGTGATATCATAACATATACAATATAGGAATCCATAAAATTCAAATTCCATACTTGGTTATCTTGATTGCCTCGTTGATAGATCGGTCATAATCATCTGCAAAATAAATTTACATGCCCATCAATATGCATAAACATCATCATCATACAAGAATATTGCATGTCAAAGCACCAGACTCTCATACTTCTTAAGGCAAGGAAACCCCAAAAAGAGAAAACACAGCAATTTGCATGGCAGATAAACCATATCAATCACCTTAGATAGATGAAAATTCATCTGATGAAATACGAGAGTAGTTCAACCATTCAATTAAAATGTCTTGAGTTGAAGTTGACAGTGTGACCAAACATGAAAAGAAACACACGAGCAACACAGCTCAAAAAAATATTCCACATATTCAGACAGCACACCATCTGCTACTTACGAGGCAATACAGGTACATTCAAGTAACGAGATAAAATGCTTTGGATTATGAAAATGGCATATTCGCCCATTGCGTGGAAAAGTGAAGAAGAGGGTTTGGAAAGTTGAGAAAAATATACCCTTGAATTGCTTAGAGAATTCCGACCAAATAAAGAATTTATTAGAGAACGATCCCAACATATTTGAGCGATCAGAGTTACGTTCATCAGGGCAGTCAGCTGCTTTTAGACGAATCATATCAGCAAAGAGCATATTCATGATGGAATTTTGGTGAAAATATGCAACAATAGCTGGAATAAGACATTGACTCCTTTCAAAAGGAAATATAGCGCACACACAGGGAGGAGTGCATTGCATCCTACATTCGATTTTGATTTCAAAAGTAAACAGAGCAGTAGTAACAGAACATAGGGAAAGAGGGCGATTTGTGTTCTTTACCGAAAGTATAGGTGACAGGTTTCCTATCACGAAGGGAGCGTCCAGGAGCAAGCCCATCCATGTTCAAGAAATTATCAAGCAGAAGAGCTTCTCTGTGTTGCTTTTTAAGCAGCCTCTCTTTCCTCTGTGACAATCAAGCAGTTAAATAAAAAAAAAATTGCAGACAGATAAGGGGATGACACAGCAACATCCTGGGATGAACAAGTACTGGAAACCACAGGTAATTTGTAACCGTCCAGACATTGATAGAGGCAATATTGCCTTGAAGTTGTAATACCTTGTGAACTCTTTCAATCTCGGGAAGCATGTCTATCTTCAACTTTTTCCCCAATGACACCTCTGTCCTGTTTTTACTGGAGAAAAGCTTCTCCTGGAGCATATCACTTATGATAAGACAGAGCAGCAGAAACTGATGAAGGTGGGAAAACATAGATTTCACATGCATAGCATTTGCAACAGATAAAGCAAATTTAACTTTTGACTAAAAAGAACATAGGAGTTCTCATTTCTTTTCCACCATCATTGCTCCACCTAATATGCTGAGGGTCCACTACATAGTCAGATAAAAAAACCATCTACAATTGATTAACTATTCTAACCCAGGAATATAACCATAGATGCTTTTTGTAACTCACAGATACATCTTGAAATTCATCCAAATTGGTTGCAACTGTTTCCCACTGGTATGATGCAATGGGGATGACCTGGGAACCCCTTGCCTTCGCTCTTTTAACCTCAACTTTCCTTATCTCCCTGTAAAGTCGATGACCAATTATTGGATCATCTTCGTACCTACACCAACGTCAAATAAATTCTTACAAAACTTGAAGTATTGAAGTTAAAAATATTACACTTCACACAAAGGTAGAGCACTTATGCATGAGAACAAACTATGACAGATCTCTGTGGGGTAAGAATGTACTGGGAAAATTTCCCACAGTACAGAAAATAAACAACGTGTAGAAAATAAACCAACTGCAAAGACAAATCAGTAACGTGGGGAATTGGATGGTTGATAAGTTCAACCACTCACCAATAATGGACTCCATTTGAATCTCCTCCAATTCGCTCCTTACGGAAAGCTGAAAGTTGAATGCCGTGCTTCATTGAATTTTCAATGAAGCTCCGGATATCTTCTTGCTGCAAATAGCATAAAAAGTTTATTTCACTAGTCCTGTCTAAACTGAAAAGACCATGACAAAAAAAAATGAAACTACAGAAGAACATATCAACTAGACGAATGCCAAATACAGGGTCCAAAATGTAGTCAGGTTTATTGCATCATTAGCCTAGGGCCTATCTCAAGAAAGAATGGAGACACTCAAGTAACATCTGAACATCTGACTGCTAGACCGATGTCGTACTCATTACCTTGCTTTTTCCCCCCTTTTTCAAAACAAAACAGGAAAATTCGTCCAAAAAAAACAGAGCAGGAAAAAAAAACAGGAAGCTAGATGAAGGGTTCCTTTATCCAAACATTATAAGTGCCAACATTAAATATTCCCAAAATATAAAGTAAAGTTGACTTGATTGGGCAAAATCCCTAAGCCAAGCCAGAATTGAAGATTCACTGTGGAGTAATGACATATCTAGGCATTTGAAAATGTAATCTGACAATATGCATATTCCATTTGAACGAACTGCATCAGACATAAACAAAAGACCCAGGGACTTTTAGCCCGTCCTCAACCATTTAACATTTACCAACTTGCATAAGTTTCATCAAATCGAATTCAGGAAATTCGGCATGGTGAACTCAATGAATCGAAGCTAAAATCTTGAAAGTGATAAGAAGAGAGAATGACTCAGTGATGATATAACTTTGTCTCAGCGCAACACATAGAAAAGTCAATTAGCTGCACACATGTCAATTAACAACTTTCTAGATCTTTTGGTGAGAATAAAAGTGGCTGCAAAAGAAGCTGTACCCCATCTTAGCAATGAGATCAAAGGCTCGTGTGTAATACATTCAGGAGAGAAACCACCTTCATATTTAATATGGTCAAGCTACTTGTAACAAACTCTAGCATAGAAAAATCAACAGCAAAAGAGTAATCAAAATCAACGACAAACCTGAATAAGAAACGTTTGCATTTCTTAGGTACACAGCAGATATTCCAAGATGGAAGCAACTTGATAAAGATCAGAGATAATGATGAAAATAAATAAAACAAATAGTATATTTGATATTATGGTTTCAGGAAACAGGAATCACAGACCACAACCAAAGAGTCGACTACAAAGGACTTAGCGGGTACGGTCTCCTATTCTCACAGTAAGGTATTTCACAACCCACAATTCTTTCATATCCAACGATCACATTAACTTCTAAAGCATATTTACCGATGAGATGCTGTTGGCTATGCAGGAATTTGACATATCATTTCTCTAGAAGTACTTCAGACAGATGAATAGATATATTAGCAAGCAGAAGAGCACGCAGCAGGATGACATTTTTCATTATCATGATTAAATGGATACCTCTACACGTATGTCACATAATGCTTTCAGGATCACCACACGGACCCCGGGGTCAAGAGATTTATAAAGTTCAACCTCAGCCCTGAAAAAATAACTCAACATAATAAGATAGAATCAGAACATACTCCCTAACTAAGTGCAGAAAAATCTAATGCATAACCACTCACCCATGTGAAGCAACAATGGGTAACTCCCCTTCTGCAACCTGTAAAAGCTCAAGTTAAACCCAGAGGCAAAAAGACAAAACTACATGCGAACTGTTGGTTATAGGTAATAGTAGGTTCAAATTACCCAATGCCACCAGTCTCTCAACTTTCTGCACAAGACAGTAACCCAGGTATCGCGAGTAAGTGCCATCCTTGTAATTGGAGGGATTGCCTACAAAAGAGTTAAGATTTAAGCACAACTAGAAACAGTTCAGTACCATGAAAAAGTCATCGAAAATAGCCGAGGGCACAAAAGGAAAAAAACAGCCATTACTCCAATGTAACTGCTGATTAATTTATCTACCAAAGCAAAACTTCCAGCAATAAACTACTATCACTTGCACCCAGCTTTACCCCTCAGCGCCGCTCCTTAATCATAATGTTTCATCCATCGCCCTGCTCACTCTACAGAATAAAAAACTCAGTTCCCGGACAAGAAATCTTGCCTACTTCCCTCAACCCTCACAAGGAAGATGACATTAGACTTAAAAACTGTATAAAGCCTACATTCCCAAATTATGGCAGATTTTAGAGGAACAAGCAACACACTAAATGGATTTCTGGCTAACGATACATTTCTGGGCTATTCCACCAATAAGTTCAACGGCCGGTCAGATTCCATGTGACTAACCAACTAAGATTCAGCCAACTTCAGCAAAAACATATCGAAGGCTAAGATACGATCACATGACCACGTAACCTTCCATATAAAAGTCCTTGCACAAAGGGTTGCAAACCATAAAACATGACTTGGAAAGCGCATTACAAGTTCAATTCAAGTTCAAGCACCTCAATGACAGGAAAGCACCAACCTTTAACAGAGGCATGTGTATATCCCCTAATGTATCATTGGGCGAGAGCAAAGCCGTTTCAAACTCTTCCGCAGAGAACTCCACCGAGATATTCAACAAATGCCTAAAAACCTGCGCAAACCAAAGCCAAGAAAAAAATATAAATCAAAACCTTCCCCACACGAAGGACCACGCCACTTCCCCGGAAAAAAAAAAAAAAACATAAGACTTTTGCGAACGAGCTCACGCACATGCAAGAAATTAAGTATCGAAGCCAATTCCCACATGGACCGGAGGCTCCACCGAGGCAGCTGCCCCGTCTCCGGAGCAGCCACGAGCGGCGTGACAATCCTGCTGCTGGCGCATTGCGCGGGCGACTCCTCCTCGCCCCGCTCGCGCTCCTCCTTCCTCGCGGCCTTGGCCCTCCTCTCCCCCGCCCCCTGCTGGTGCTGCTGGTGCTGCTGCTGCGCGGCCGCCTGGAGCCTGGAGGCAGCCCTAATCGCGCACGCCCGCGCCGGCCTCCCGCTCCGTGTGGGGACCACGACGACCGTCCCGTTCTTCTGCGCCGCGTCGTCGTCCTTGCTCCCGCCCCCGCCGCCGCCTCCGCCTCCTCCGCCGTCGCCGCCGCTCCCGCCGTTCGGGGCCCCGGCGGCCGCGGGGGAGGATCGGTCGGAGGGGATCGGAGGGGGCGGTGCGGAGGACATGGTCGGTTTGGGGGGTGGGGGTGAGATCGGGGAAGGGGGTTGTTCAGGGGGGGGAAGCTTAGGGTGCCCGGGGATTAGGCGGAAGAGATCATGGCGGTTCGGGATTGGAGAATCGAGGAGCTCTAGAGAGAGAGAGAGAGAGAGGGGGGGGGGGGGAAGGGGGGGGAGTTCTAGAGAGAGAAGGGGAAGGGCATCGGGAGCGCGGGGGTGGGGAATGGAGAGGGATTTGACGGGGGAGGTGTGGCTCCTGCGACTTTTCGCTGCTTCTGCAAGTGAAATTTTTTTTTTGCAAAGAGAGAGAAACAAGAGAGAGAAGGGACGGGGGGAGGGCTGAAGGAAAGGGAAGAAGAAGAAGAAGAAGAAGGGTAGAGAGAGAGAGAGAGAGAGAGAGAAAAGGGGGGAGGAGGAGGAGGAGGACACCTGAATTTGGTATTTTGTAATTTTTTTTAACTTTTGGGTTAATATCACTGAAAAGCTTCAAATTTATATTTCAAATTAACTTTTTGACCATAAAAAATCTCAAACCGGTAAAATTATGATAAATTTATCATAAACTAATTTTCTAACCACAAAAAACCCCAAACAGAGACGAATTTACCTATCATTAGTTTTCCATTCAATTTTAATGTTAAATTGCCGAGTTTGATTACACGTTGCGGTTGACGGGTGTAACAGTTTGGGATTTGTACTTCTGTTTGTCACGGGTGTACCGGTTTGATATTTTTCATGGTATTTATCCGATTTAAAGGAAACTAACAAAAGGTAAATTTGTCACAAATATACCAGTTTGAGGTTCCATGTGGTCAAAAAATTAGTTTAGAGTAAATTTATCGCAAGGTATACAAATTTGGGGTTTTTCTTGATATTTACCCTTTACTTTTTTATCTTCTTCTTTTTTTTTTCTTTTTGCTCTTGGTGATAAATTAATTGATTAATATCACGAAAATCCCAAGCTGGTGTGTACCCGTGACAAATTTACCCCAAATCACCAAAAATCCCAAACTGGTACATTTATGTCAATTTTACCCTCTATTAGTTTTTGTTAAATCTTACCGTTAAATTGTCAAGTTGGATGACACTTGGCAGTTAACGAGTGTATTAGTCCGAGGTTTTACTATCCGTTTGTCACAGGTATACTAATTTGTGGTTTTTCGTTGCATTAGTTCAATTCAACGGAAACTAACGGAAGGTAAACTTGTCACTTATATATCGGTTTTTGGGGTTTTTTGCAGTCAAAAAATTAGTTTGGGGTAAATTTATCATAGATGTACTAGTTTAAGATTTTTCGTGATCAAAAAATTAATTTTTGGTAAATTTATTATTGGTGCATCAATTTAGGATTTTTGTGGTACTAACCCTAAACTTATTTTGTCATGCACCCATTTAAATAAGATTTTATTAACGAGTGTCTTAATATATCGATGAAATTTAAATAAATGTGAGAAGCATATAGTTTTTCGAAACATTGATCGTGTCTGTCTCGAAAGTGATCGACGCATTAAATAGTCATGTCTTTTTTCTTTATTTAGTTGCTTATCGAGAATTCATTTAGATATGCATTTCCTTTTCTGAACTTCCTCCATAAAGAAGTAGTTTCCCTTTACGAGGGCAATTTTGGTCAAGACCATTTGAAAAAAAAAGGGTCATAATTTATTTTGAAAATTTAATTTTAAAAAAAATGACCAAGAAATATATATTTGCTTTCATTGCCTTCGTGCATATTTATTTGGGTTAGTGAAGTGTTGGGAGAGGCGGATAGAACCGGCGGCGATGACATGAAGATGTATATGAAGGAAAAGAGACGACAAAAAGGGTCACAATAAGAATAAGGCGGCATAAAGTTGCAAAATTGATATCTTGCGATCACGCGAAATCATTTCAGTACACATTTTTGAAAAATTTTGAAATTTCACGAGGTTTTCGATGCTTGATCTAGAGACAAACCCATCGACAGCTCGATTCATCGCTTCGAGTGCGATCTAGATAATTTCAAATCGCATTATTCTTAATGTACATTCTTTGTTTCTTGTCCCTCTTATTCCGAAATATCCCGTCATCTAAAGATGAATTTCTCATGTCGCTAGCGATCAACCTTCGTAGGCTCGGGGTCGAATGAGTAATTAGTCCTCTTGGTTAAGTAGACAATTAGACCTGGCTTAAATAAATTTTTGTAATTTCACACTTTTTCTTTGGCCTTTTTGGTAAATATCATGTTGGGCATATTCTTCTTGGGTACAACAAACGTTCTCCTTTTCTTTTGGGTCGGATCTGACCCGACCCGATCTCTTAGTTTGGGCCAACATGTCAATGTTTGTATGCAAAGGGCCCACAGTTGACCCCATTGGCCCAACTGACTTTAGCAGTTCATCATCTTCTGTGAAAACATGTCATGTGCCCTATGTACATAGTTCAAAGAAATTTCCATGATGATCTTTAACACCTCCAAGAAAACTATGATCTGCAAGCAAAATTGGAACTCACACTCGGTCGGAATCACCGGAGAGCGCGCATTCGTGTGGAATTACAACGTTTTTCGGGCTACTGAAAAAGACTACATGTTGCCCCAGAGGAATAACCACAGGGACGCAACTAGGCACGTCAAACTGCTGTATCTGTAGGCCAACAGGTTTGCACCCGAAGGTGATGTGTTCGGACCCGGGGTCGAGACGTCGGTGACATTTTCTTTCGGGCAAGTGTAGCCGCAGCGACTCGGGCGGACGACCCTATATACCCCATTGAAAGCCAGGATGTAAATGTCCTTGCGATTGTCTTCCCCGAAAGAGTAGATATAGTTCAGAGTCGGAAGGGAGCTTCCTTGCACGGAGTCGCACTTTATAGGCGAATCCTTCGCGCAGCTGAAAGGTATCTCACTCGAAGAAAAGTTGCCGCTATTGTCTGGAGTCTCCACGCCCGCCCAGAGCGCTCCGGCATACAAATCCGCGTACAAGTACCTAAACAATGCGTGACATTTTAGTTAAGTGGTCCTTTCTGCAGTAACTCAATAGACCAAGACATGCATACAGAACATCCACAATGAGTACCGGATAAAGACATCAACAATGAGTACCAAATGCACAACATCAAATGCAAATAGACGCACGTCGCTACTAACCTTCCATACATGCACGGATCAGTGGTTGACCGATAAAAGTAGCCGCCGGTAATGGCCGCGGATCCTAGCTTGTTATTAACCTGAGAGTGATTATAACCCAGCACAGGAAAAATAAAGTTTGTCGCCTTTATTGAAGTATTTCCTTCGGAAGCGTAACGATATGGACCCTCGAAATAATGCCAGCCATAGTTTCCGCCCTTGGTGATTAGATCGACCTCTTCGTATATATCCTGTAGATTACGACGATCGATTTCGACATTAGTTCAGAGAAAGACTTGAAGTGCCTATCATGATGCCCATCAGTCAATTAGTACTCAAATTATGTACCAGACAGTTTCTGAAAGAACTCCAGCAAAGAGAAACTTAGTTCAGTTATAGGAAGTGTTTAGCACGAAGCCGGAGGCAGAGACATATTACATTGGCTTTGAAAGTGGTTTTTAGCAAGTAACTATGGCATACACACCGAAGAAACCCTTTACGGTCGAGACGTTTCTTTGACAGAAAACTATGAGTGCTAGCTAAAGATGATGAACGTGAATTTATCTCTAACCTGCCCAACATCTCCACACATAAAGTAGGAAGGCCTTGCCGAGTCAAAGCTGCAACGCCATGGATTTCTCATCCCCAGAGTCCAGATCTCCGGCTGCAACTGGTTATCTTCAGTGAAGGGATTATCACTGGGTATAGAGTAGTTTCCCCAGAATCCAAGTTTGTCTATTTGATCAACACCTGAAACAATCCAGAGAAAAAAGCTAGGTTGATTAGACAACACATTCAAAAGAAGATAATACTGCAGATGTTGTTACTCACTTGGGATGTTATCTACATCAAGCCGCATGATCTTCCCGAGCAATGATTTTTTGTTCTGGGAAAAGTTGTAGGGGTCGCCCGAGTTATTAGGCGAGCCACCATCTCCCATCATAAAATATAAGTACCCATCGGCGGGTCCAAAGAGGATCTGTCCTCCGTGATGAGCGGTAAATGGAAGGCCCATAGTAAAGATCCTTCTCACTTCAATCGGGTTGGCACTCTTTGCCTGGACAAACAATGAAAGCTTGATCACACAACTGTCCCTTAAAAAGCAACAATGTAAGAGGAGTCGTGGTTGATGTATGTACCAAAGAAGGCTGAGATGCAGAACCATTAGCAGAATATTCTGCAATGACAGTTTGGTATTGGCACGGTTGAGCCCCGTTATCAGAAGGTAGCTGCGAAGGGTCACAATTCACATCTGAATTGCACGAACATCTTCCTGTACAACCAGGCCACTTTGACTTGTCACAATTGAATGAAGCAAACAGCCGGCCGTTCTCTGCAAAGTTCGGATGGATTGCAATACCCATCATCCCAAATATTGTATCGAAATGAACCTCATCAGTCAGGTCTAAGAAGGGACTGGACTGATCAATCTCCAAAGATCCTCCCGATCCCTGCTCGGGAATAGTAGCAAGCCAAATATAACCCTTCTGGTCAGAGAAGAAAGCACGGTTGGAGCCATCAGGATGGGCGGCCATATCAAGATATGACCCATTCCCTATCTTCTCGAGGCACAACCCCTTTGGGAGGCCCGGTGCTTCTGTGCTATTCAGCTTAACAGGCTCACCATCGAAACATACGGAATCATCAAGCGATGCTCCACCAAACGCATTGCAGAAATCTCCTTTGGACTGCCAAAATGCAGTCAGTTTGGTGAAGCTGGCATTGACCGGTATTCCGGCTTGTCCTTGTAAGGAAGGTGCAAAGGGTGAGTTGAATATCGATACGTTTTGACATGTATCCCATACTGTGGAGCAGAAGTCGGTCTCTGCTTGGTTGGACTGAGATGAATTAGCCGAAACAGTCGAATTGCACAGGATAGGAACTGGCCGAGGCACAGAACCTACTGTGAATAACTCGGCGGAGAAAGGATCACATTTCTGTGAGCCGTGATAGAGGGAAAACGCATGAGTCCACAATTTTATTAAAGATTCACCGAGAGAAATAAAAAGCAAATCAAATAAATTTGAATGAGTGTCATTTGAAGAAATTTTCTCATCATGGGCTAAGTGAGTATTATGACACAGGAGATAAACTCGTGTGATTTCTGGATGGGAAACTTTGACTAGGTTATGATCAATGGCCAAGTGAGCATCACGAGAGCTATAGCATCTTCGATCCACTATCCGATAACGAAAACAATCATGTTGCCCAAAAGTCACTATTGCCTCATTAGAACTTTTCTTCGGAAATCAACGTCCATATAGAGAAGTGCAAAAATTTCTAAGTATGAGCCCAAAATCTCAGCTTCCGTTCAACAGCCAACAGGCAATTTTAACAAACAGGGCGAGCAAAGGGCGTACCGCGCAGAGGATTGATTTCAAAATCGACGCGCAAGCAGAAATGGATACATTCATGGCTTGAAACTGCTTCTGCAATAGCGAATCTTCGGTGGAGTTGCAGCATGTGCTTCCATTGTAAGGGCAGAATGTCAGTGGAGTTGTCTGGGTACTTGGAGATCCTATTAGCATTACAGGAAGATATCGAGAGGATTCAGACAATTACGCATTTCTTGCACAACATTTCATGGCAAAAGCAAATCGTGAACTCTAAAAATGCAAAATGAAAAAGAAAGCATGGAAAGAGAAATTGAACTTACTTGAATCAGTGCATAGAGGAAGAGAAGCTGTGGGATTAGGAAACATCAGCTGAGAGCTAGAAACCAGAATGACAAGAGCAAGAAGACCACCCATCATATACCAGAATCACCAGAAACCCAAAAAATGGTTTTTTCACATCACCCTCTGCACTTCTTATACACCCGGTGAAAGATTTGAAAGGCACAGCTCCAAATTGACACTTGGAAACATTTATCTACAGAGAAACCAATTCTTTGGGTGGTTTGAACATTCCGAGCACTGTCAACTACTCTCTATCTTCCTTATTTCACTCCATTATTGGCCCCATCTCTCTCTCTCTCTCTCTCTCTACATAGTCTCTCGAGAACACCATCCAGAAGCGGAAAATATAAACAATTCTTGCTGTCTCTTTAGCCGGAGTTTTCCGACTCTCTGAGTCACGACTCACAAGCCTTTAGACTTTTTCTATTGTGCAAATCACTGGGCGGAAACAGATCTCCACAAATCTTTAAAATTAGAGACGGAGGTGGTGCCGGGGAGACTCCACAGTTGAATTTTACATGAATAAGCTTTCCCTCTTCATTTTTCAATCCAAGAATTTAATTGGGGTGGTTGAGAAGGAACCCTACCCCGTGTTCTCAGCCCCAAGTTGAAATTGTAAGTCTTGGTTGTCTTCTTGTGTCGTGTGTTGTGACCACATCCATCGCCTCTTTTCTGCGAGCTCAAACGGTATTCACTTCCATTAAGCCCAAAAAGACACAAACGCACTTCAAGAAACTTGCCACATATGCACACAAACACGATTCACAACCCCCAGTCGCCCTTTGAGTCAAACAGAGGCTGAAAACCAAGACTTCCCACATGTCATGATGATGGCATAATGTCCTTTTCTTGTTAAATATGCATTAAACAAATAAGAAAAGAGAGCAGAAATGCTAGCACGTGAAAACTACAGATGGTTCTTGCATAAGACTAGATTCTGTTCACTGCCGACAATGAGGATGGTAAAAGATTTCCTCTCTTTTCTTTATGTCTTTTGCATCTTTTCACAGGATCAAACTCGAGGACCCAGAGACGGGGCAAACGAGCGAAATACGAGTGTCGTGCCTGTCCGGGCAAACTCTTCTAGATAAAACTTGAAAAGGGTCGTCACATGCGCATCGTCACTGTCAGACAATACCTCTGCACATCTGTAATAAATGATTTAACTAATGCAATAGTCAAGGGTTTTGGTTTTCTTTATATGTTAATCTGATATCAATTCAAGTGAGGGAAACGCGCAAGAGAGGGTGAGGATGGAGAGCGAAAATGGTGTGTGAATATGACCCAGATGACCATTTCTTCCTCCGTTTTCGTTCTCTGGTTCACAAAGAGAACGAAAAAGAGAAGGAGCTTTTTCTTCTTGGCCTGTCCTCAGGCGAGGATGAAGCCAAGAAAGAATTTTGTTCAGATGGGCAAATGTGAAAAGGAAAAAGATGAAGAGGGTTTTTGAAGCTTTGACTTTTTGAGAAAGAGACGCTTTTCTGCATTGCAGCACTCTTCACATCGACTCTGAGAAGTTAGAAAGTCACCATTATATCGTTGTTCTATTGATGTCGTGTTTGGTAGCGTCTGTAGCTATTTCAAGACCGGGATTAAATTAGAGCAACATTCTTTCTTCCAACTCAAGTCAGATAAGTAGTATTTAGCAAAAAAAAAAAAGTCAGATAAGTAGTGATTTGCAAATTACAAGGCAAAGGGGAAAACTGTCCAAAAAATCCTAAACGGGGCCAATTCAATCTTAAATCTTTCAATTGTTCTAATTTAGTGCTTAACTTTTTGACGATTTGCCCATTTAATCCTAAATCTTTTAACGATTTGCCAATGTAATTCTTCCAACCAAATATCCAAATAATAGATTTTATGACTACATTGGCAAATTTTCAAGATATTCATAACTAAATTGGCAAAAAAAAGGCTTAGACTTAAATTGGCAAATCGTTAAAATGTTTAAGACTAAATAAGCATAATTAATAGCATTGAATTGATTGTTGTACAATATATTTAGGACAATCATCATGCCCAAGGTAACAAGATGCTACATTTTCAATTCGTCGGACCAACTTACTGATAAATAGGGGTGTGCAAAAGAACCGGGACCCGCCCGAACCGCCCGGAACCGGACCGAAACCGGTGGTTCCCGGTTCCAATTTTTTGGAACCGGTACTGTTTGGGCCGATTCCCGGTTCCCGGTGTGGAACCGCCCACCCGCCCACCCGGATCGGACCGGTAATATAATAATAATATATATTATTTTATTTAATTTTTAATTAAAAAAATCTGACCAAAAAAAATTAAAAAAAAGAAGAAATTTTGTTATCATGTCTGAAGCTCTTGTGTAGTTGGGATACCTTGGTCATTTTTCCCAATAATTAATGGGTACCTACTTGATTTATGGATGATGTGATTAGTATAATCGATCATAGTGTAGGAATTGTATGAAAAATTATGTTCTTTTTCTTTTGTTCTGTTGATCCGATGTTGGTCCACAGATTTTGTTTTATTTGTCTAGGAAAACTTGTTGAGACCGGTTCCATAGACCCGCCCAAGAACCGGACCGGGCCGGCGGTCCGGTTCTCGGGTAGGTCCATGGAACCGACGGCGATTCTCGGTTCCAATTTTTGGAACCAGGTCTATGTGGCGGTCCACGGTTCCGGGGTGGGAACCGCCCACCCGGACCATGCACACCCCTACTGATAAATCACATCCCTCGCATGAGTATGGGTTAAGAATTTCCCCTTCCTTTTCTCACATTCGGGTCGTATTAATACCCGAGTTCAAGTCACCTTACATGTCCATCTCGCAAGATACTAAGAAAGTAAGAAAGACCGCATTAATTCGAAGCTAGGAGTTTCGTTAGCCCGATGCGCAAGAACATAACTTACATTGGCTAGAAATCTGTATCGTGAAGAACAACAAAGTCCACATTAACCCACCAATGGATGGATGACCATGTTGTTTTTCGCAAGAAGGTTCTAAACCCTAACGCTTTTGTCTCCAAAGACAAAGATGCATTTGTCGGAGTCAACCCAACAGATGGGCCCATTTTGAAAAACGCTGTCCAATGCAATCGCTGTTGCAACTTGCACTGAATTGAGCTCTTGGTCAGCCCTTTTTTCGTCGTTAATGCGACACCGACGTCCTCTTCGGACTATCGATTTACCCCTCTTTAATCGCAAAGCGTCGTCCACCGCCACCCACCTTTTTCACTTTGTTCAATAATATGGTGGAAGAGAGAGGCAAAAGCCAAGTACGCCTCTTGACAAAGAAATAAATAACTACTATGTCTTTTTTTATTTGCTTTTTTGTTTGAAAATAGATAAATGAGAAGGGAAAGCACAAGATTTTACACTGCCATAGTTGAATTCCTTTCTCTCAAATTACCCCGGCTTTCGAATTAGTAGCGGATCAACACTGAACAGAGAATGGAAGATTAGCAGCCTTCTGTTCGAATGAGCAAAATGAGTAGATAATTCTAATAGTAACAGAATCTGAACTGCACGTCTCACTTCTCCCTTCCACAAAGCTAGCGCGATCATCTGGCGACCCAACACAAGTTGGCAGCAAAAGAAGGAATCCACCGATGCAAGTAGCGCTACCTCGACAGCAATCAAGTTTGTTGTACCGGGTTAAAAGTTCTCCCCATGTCTTGGATCTATGTTGTTCCTCCTATCGAAAACACAGGCTGCCATCGAGTTTTTAACTGTCTAGTGCACCGAGTGCTTTCATGTCCTCCAGGAAAGCCATGTACAAGTCATCAATGCTCTTTGGAGCGGTGGAAGATGAACTAACAACCTCTGGCTTCACAACTGTAGGAGTTGCAGGTCGCGGGGCCGCTACTGTCATTGAGACTGCTGGCTTTGGTTTTGATTTTGGAACCACAGACTCTCGCCTCACCTGAGCTTAAGCTATTAGGTGGAGAGAGACCACATGAATATAAAGAGCATTTAGGACCCGTTATCAATCAATATAGGATAATATTTCAACAAACCTGTTGCCACATGAATATGCTCAGCTAAAACTACCAAGTACTGAATATGACACAGAAGGCCAGAAAGGAAGATGCAATGATAGCAGTGAGCAAATGGAGAACGGACATACCATGGCAGTAAGTTCTGGCGTGTGCTGAGCAAGTGGCCTCTTGACAACAGTGGGGGCTGCTGACTTCACATATGATGGCTTCGGGGGTACAGGTGGCCTAATAGCAGTGAGTTCATCTTCTAGCAGAGCGGGTGGTGGACCAGGTGGAAGCGGAGGCCTCATCATCGGAGGGGCTCCGGGTGGAGGGCCATATGGTGGCCTTGGAAGCAAGGGAACCATCATTCCTGGTGGAACCCCTTGGTTGGGAAGCCCGGCAGCAGATAATGGTGGCCGCATATCTGGTGGAGGTGGCGGCGGCCGGAAACGTGACATGCCCGGTGGTAACACATCAGGCTGCATGGTTGGCATCATACCAGGTCTAGGCACTGGCTGGTGTTGCCTTGGACGAGGTGGTGGTGGTGGGACCAAGTTAGTGACATCCTTCTTGTCAGAAGGATTACTGGCTTCATATTCAGGTGAGCCCTCAGATGGATTACCTGCAGACTTCGGTGGCAATCCTGGAGGAGGCGGTGGTAATGGAAGCATGGCAGATACCTTCAGTTGAAAGAAAGGAGGAAAGGTAAACATTAAATTCCATTTACATATATCACTAAAGCCAGCGAGTAATAGCAAGAACATTCAAGTTAAGAGCAAAGACTTGTGCATGCTCGTATCCACATATTACTTTTAAGCTTTAGCTTTTGATCTCCATCAATTTCAGATTTATGGCTTCAGCACACTAGTCTATCTCACTATTCCAGTTGATACTACACATGTATAGGAAGAGTTTACCCGAGCATCCTCAGGTCCCTGGCGATCTGCTGACAATGTAGATAAAATTCTGGAGGAGGTGGCTGAGCAGATTGTTGCGGTCAAAAAATGATATACCAGTTTGGGGTTTTTCGTAGTTTTAACCATTTTCTTTTTTATCCTCTTTTTTTTTCTTTTTTTTTTTGGTGATAAATTAATGGGTTAATATCACGAAAAACCCTAAATTGGTATACATGTGACAAATTTACTCTCAATTAATTTTTTGACCTCAAAAAACCTAACATTCGTTAGTTTTCGTTAAATTTTACTGTCAAATTGTCGAGTTGGATGATACATGGCAATTCTTCTGTTTGCCGCAGGTGTATCAGTTTGAGGTTTTTGGTGATAAAAAAAATTAATTTTGGATAAATTTATCACATGCGTACCAGCTTGAGGATTTTAGTGGTAAAAAAATTATTTTTGCATAAATTTGTTAAATGTGTACAAGTTTGGAGTTTTTCATAATATTAATCCTAAATTAATTTCGTCGCGCACTTATTTAAATAGGATTTTGTTAACGAGTGTCTTGATATACCGAATAAATTTAACTAAATGTGAGAAGTATATAGTTTTTCGAAACATTGATTATGCGTATCTCGAAGGTAATCTGCGCATTAAACAGGTATTTTTTCTTTATTTAGTTGCTTGTGGAGTACTACCGCCTGCCGAACGCTTTTAACAAAACTCAATTAGATGTGCATTTCCTTTTCCGAACTTGCTCTATAAAGATGTCGTTCCCCTTTATGAGGGCAATTTGGTAAGACTATTTGGAAAAAATAAAGGGCAATAATTTATTTTGCAAATTTAATTTCGAAAAAAAAAATGACCAAGAAATATATATTTGCTTTCATTGCCTTTGTGCATATTTATTTTGGGTTAGTGAAGTATTGGGGAGAGGCAGACAGAACCGGCAACTGACATGAAGATGTATGTGAAGGAGAAAAGGTGACAAAATGAGTCGCAATAAGAAAAAGGCGTCATAAAATCGCAAATCGATATCTTGTGATTACACGAAATCATTTCAGTATATTCTTAAAAAAAAAATTGGAATTTCACGAGGTTTTCGACGCTTGATCTGGAGACAAGCCCATCGACCGCTCGATTCATCTCTTTGAGCATGGTCTAGATAATTCAAATTGCGCCCTTCTTGATGTATGGTCTTTATTTCTCGTCCCTTTTATTTCAAAATCCGGTCATCCGTAAGTGTCCTTAGCGATTGACCTTCCTCGACTCGGGGTCAAATTAGTCCTCTTGGTTAAGTGGACAATTAGACCTAGCTTAAATAAGTTTTTTGCAATTTCACCCTTTTTCTTTGGCCATTTTGGTAAAAAACTAAATATTTTGTTTGGCATATTCTTCTTAGGTACAACAAACGTTTTCCTTTTCTTTCTAGTCGGATCTCTTCCGACCCGACCCGACCCTACCCAATCTCTTGGTTCGGGCCAACATGTTACTGTTTGCATGCAAAGGGCCCACAGTTGACCCCATTGGCCCAACTGACATTAGCAGTTCATCGTCTTCTGTGAAAACATGTCATGCGCCTTATTTACATAGTTCAAAGAAATTTCCATGATGATCTTCAACAACTCCCAAGAACACTCGGATCTGCAAGCAAAATTGGAACTCACACTCGGTCGGAATCGGCGGAGAGCACGCATTCGCGTGGAATTACAACGTTTTTTGGGCCACTGGAAAGGGGCTACATGTTGCCCCAGAGGAATAACCACAGGGAGGCAAGTAGGCACACAAACTGCTGTATCTGTAGGCCAACAGGTTTGCACCCGAAGGCGTTGCACTCGGACCCGGGGTCGAGACGTCGGTGACATTTTCTTTCGGGCAAGTGTAGCCACAGCGACTCGGGCGGACGACCCTATATACCCCATTGAAAGCCAGGATGTAAATGTCCTTGCGATTGTCTTCCCCGAAAGAGTAGATATAGTTCAGAGACGGAAGGGAGCTTCCTTGCATGGAGTCGCACTTTATAGGCGAATCTTTCGCGCAGCCGAAGGGTACCTCACTCGAAGTAAAGTTGCCGCTATTGTCTGGAGTCTCCACGCCCGCCCAGAGTGCTCCGGCGTACAAATCCGCATACAAGTACCTAAACAATGCGTGATATTTTAGTTAAGTGGTCCGTTCTGCAGCAACTCAATAGACCAAGACATGCATACAGAACATCCACAGTGAGTACCAAATAAAGACATCAACAATGAGTACCAAATGCACAACATCAAATGCAAATAGACGCTCATCGCTACTAACCTTCCATACATGCACGGATCAGTGGTTGACCGATAAAAGTAGCCGCCGGTTATGGACGCGGATCCTAGCTTGTTATTAACCTGAGAGTGATTATAACCCAGCACAGGAAAAATAAAGTTTGTCGCCTTTATTGAAGTATTTCCATCGGAGGCGTAACGATACGGACCCTCGAAATAATGCCAGCCATAGTTTCCGCCCTTGGTGATTAGATCGACCTCTTCGTATATATCCTGTAGATTACGACGATCGATTTCGAGATTAGTTCAGAGAAAGACTTGAAGTGCCTATCATGATGTCCATCAGTCAATTAGCACTCAAATTATGTACCAGACAGTTTCTGAAAGAACCCCAGCAAAGAGAAACTTAGTTCAGTTAATAGGAAGTGTTTAGCACGAAGCCGGAGGCAGAGACATATTACATTGGCTTTGAAAGTGGTTTTCAGCAAGTAACTATGGCATACACACCGAAGAAACCCTTTACGGTCGAGACGTTTCTTTGACACAAAAACTATGAGTGCTAGCTAAAGATGATGAACGCGAAATTATCTCTAACCTGCCCAACATCTCCACACATAAAGTAGGAAGGCCTTGCCGCATCAAAGCTGCAACGCCATGGATTTCTCATCCCCAGAGTCCAGATCTCCGGCTGCAACTGGTTATCTTCAGTGAAGGGATTATCACTGGGTATAGAGTAGTTTCCCCAGAATCCAAGTTTGTCTATTTGATCAACACCTGAAACAATCCAGAGAAAAAAGCTAGGTTGATTAGACAACACATTCAAAAGAAGATAATACTACAGATGTTGTTACTCACTTGGGATGTTATCGACATCAAGCCTCATGATCTTCCCGAGCAACGATTTTTTGTTCTGGGAGAAGTTGTAGGGGTCGCCCGAGTTATTAGGCGAGCCACCATCTCCCATCATAAAATATAAGTACCCATCGGCGGGTCCAAAGAGGATCTGTCCTCCGTGATGAGCGGTAAATGGAAGGCCCATAGTAAAGATCCTTCTCACTTCAATGGGGTTGGCACTCTTTGCCTGGACAAACAATGAAAGCTTGATCACATAACTGTCCCTTAAAAAGCAACAATGTAAGAGGAGTCGCGGTTGATGTATGTACCAAAGAAGGCTGAGATGCAGAACCATTAACAGAATATTCTGCAATGACAGTTTGGTATTGGCACGGTTGAGCCCCGTTATCAGAAGGTAGCTGCGAAGGGTCACAATTCACATCTGAATTGCACGAACATCTTCCTGTACAACCAGGCCACTTTGACTTGTCACAATTGAACGAAGCAAACAGCCGGCCGTTCTCTGCAAAGTTCGGATGGATTGCAATACCCATCATCCCAAATTCTGTATCGAAATGAACCTCATCAGTCAGGTCTAAAAAGGGACTGGACTGATCAATCTCCAAAGATCCTCCCGATCCCTGCTCGGGAATAGTAGCGAGCCAAATATAACCCTTCTGGTCAGAGAAGAAAGCACGGTTGGAGCCATCAGGATGGGCGGCCATATCAAGATATGACCCATTCCCTATCTTCTCGAGGCACAACCCCTTTGGGAGGCTCGGTGCTTCTGTGCTATTCAGCTTAACAGGCTCACCATCGAAACATACAGAATCATCAAGTGATGCTCCACCAAACGCATAGCAGAAATCTCCTTTGGACTGCCAAAATGCAGTCAGTTTGGTGAAGCTGGCATTGACCGGTATTCCGGCTTGTCCTTGTAAGGAAGGTGCAAAGGGTGAGTTGAATATCGGTACGTTTTGACACGTATCCCATACTGTGGAGCAGAAGTCGGTCTCTGCTTGGTTGGACTGCGATGAATTGGCCGAAACAGTCGAATTGCACAGGATAGGAACTGGCCGAGGCACAGAACCTACCGTGAATAACTCGGCGGAGAAAGGATCACATTTCTGTGAGCCGTGATAGAGGGAAAACGGATGAGTCCACAATTTTATTAAAGATTCACCGAGAGCAATAAAAAGCAAATCAAATAAATTTGAATGAGTGTCATTTGAAGAATTTTTCTCATCATGGGCTAAGTGAGTATTATGACACAGGAGATAAACTCGTGTGATTTCTGGATGGGAAACTTTGACTAGGTTATGATCAATGGCTAAGTGAGCATCATGAGAGCTATAGCATCTTCGATCCACTATCCGATAATGAAAACAATCATGTTGCCCAAAAGTCACTATTGCCTCATTAGAACTTTTCTTCGGAAATCAACGTCCATATAGAGATGTGCAAAAATTTCAGTCAAAGTATGAGCCCAAAATCTCAGCTTCCGTTCAACAGCCAACAGGCAATTTTAACAAACAGGGCAAGCAAAGGGCGTACCGCGCAGAGGATTGATTTCAAAATCGACGCGCAAGCAGAATTGGATACATTCATGGCTTGAAACTGCTTCTGCAATAGCGAATCTTCGGTGGAGTTGCAGCATGTGCTTCCATTGTAAGGGCAGAATGTCAGTGGAGTTGTCTGGGTACTTGGTGATCCTATTAGCATTACAGGAAGATATCGAGAGGATTCAGACAATTACGCATTTCTTGCACAACATTTCATGGCAAAAGCAAATCGTGAACTCTAAAAATGCAAAATGAAAAAGAAAGCAAGGAGAGAGAAATTGAACTTACTGGAATCAGTGCATAGAGGAAGAGAAGCAGTGGGACTAGGAAACATCAGCTGAGAGCTAGAAACCAGAATGACAAGAGCAAGAAGACCACCCATCAAATACCAGAATCACCAGAAACCCCAAAAAATGGTTTTTTCACATCACCCTCTGCACTTGTTATACACCCGGTGAAAGATTTGAAAGGCACAGCTCCAAATTGACACTTGGAAACATTTATCTACAGAGAAACCAAAGCTTTAGGTGGTTTGAACATTCTGAGCACTGTCAACTACTCTCTATCTTCCTTTATTTCACTCCATTATTGGCCCCATCTCTCTCTCTCTCTCTCTCTCTCTCTCTCTCTCTACATAATCTCTCGAGAACAGGATCCAGAAGCGGGAAATATAAACAATTCTTGCTGTCTCTTTAGCCAGAGTTTTCTCTCTCTCTGAGTCACGACTCCCTAGCCTTTAGACTTTTTCTATTGTGCAAATCGCTGGGCGGAAACAGATCTCCACAAATCTTGAAAATTAGAGACAGAGGTGGTGCCGGGGAGACTCCACAGTTGACTTTTACATGAATAAGCTTTCCCTCTTCATTTTTCAATCCAAGAATTTAGTTGGGGTGGTTGAGAAGGAACCCTCCCCCATGTTCTCAGCCCCAAGTTGGCATTGGAAATCTTGGTTGTCTTCTTGTGTCGTGTGTTGTGACCCCATCCATCGCCTCTTCTCTGCGAGCTCAAACGGTATTCCACTTCCACAAGCCCAAAAAGACAAACGAACTTCAAGAAACTTGCCAAATATGCACACAAACACAATACACAACTCCACTCGCGCTTTGAGTCGAACAGAGGCTGAAAACCAAGACTTCCCACATGTCATGATGATGGCATAATGTCCTTTTCTTGCTAAATATGCATTAAACAGATAAGAAAAGAGAGCAGAAATGCTAGCACGTGAAAACTACAGATGGTTCTTGCATAAGATTAGATTCTGTTCACTGCCGACAATGAGGATGGTAAAAGATTTCCTCTCTTTTCTTTATGTCTTTTGCATCTTTTCACAGGATCAAACGCGAGGACCCAGAGACGGGGCAAACGAGCGAAAAACGAGTGTCGTGCCTGTCCAGGCAAACTCTTCTAGATAAAACTTAAAAAGGGTCGTCACATGCGCATCGTCACTGTCAGACGATACCTCTGCACGTCTGTAATAAACGATTAACTAATGCAATAGTCAAGGGTTTTGGCTTTCTTTATATGTTAATCTGATATCAATTCAAGTGAGGGAAACGCGCAAGAGAGGGCGAGGATTTGAGAGCGAAAATGGTGTGTGAATATGACCCAGATGACCATTTCTTCCTCCGTTTTCGTTCTCTGGTTCACAAAGAGAACGAAAAAGAGAAGTAGCTTTTTCTTCTTGGCCTGTCCTCAGGCGAGGATGAAGCCAAGAAAGAATTTTGTTCAGATGGGCAAATGTGAAAAGGAAAAAGATGAAGAGGGTTTTTGAAGCTTTGACTTTTTGAGAAAGAGACGCTTTTCTGCATTGCAGCACTCTTCACATCGACTCTGAGAAGTTAGAAAGTCACCATTATATCGTTGTTCTATTGATGTCGTGGTGTTTGGTAGCGTCTGTAGCTACTTCAAGACCGGGATTATAGTAGAGCAACATTCTTTCTTCCAACTCAAGTCAGATAAGTAGTGATTTGCAAATTACAAGGTAAAGGAGAAAACTGTCCAAAAAATTATAAACCTATTGTACATTGGCTAATTCAATTTTTAAATTTTTAATTGTGGCAATCTAGTCCTTAACTTTTTGACGATTTGCTAATTTAGTCCTAAATCTTTTGATATGCCAATATAATCCTAAACTTTTTACGTAGGCCATCTAGCCAAATATCCAAATAATATTGTTATGACTAAATTGGTAAATTTTCAAAATTTTGAGGATTAAATTGACACAAAGAAAGGTCTAGAATTAAATCAATAAATCGTCAATAGGTATAGGATTAAATAAGCACAATTAAAATATTTATAACCGAATTTAGGACTTTTTGGATAATCATCATTCCCAAGGTAATGAGATGCTACTTTTTCAATTTATCAGATCGACTTACAGTTAAATCACATCCCTCGTGCGAGTATGGGTTAAGAATAAGCCGAACTCTCGTCTTTGCCCTTCCATTTTTCACATTTGGGTAGTCTTCATACTCAAGTTCAAGTCACCCTACAATACATGTCCATCTCGCAAGATACTAAGAAAGTAAGAAAGACCGCGTTAATTCGAAGCTACGAGTTTCGTTAGCCCGATGTGCAAGAACATAACTTACATAGGCTAGAATCTGTATTTTGAAGAACAACAAAGTCCACATTAACCCGCCGATAGATAGATGACCATGTTGTCAGAGTCAACCCAACACATGGGCCCAATTTTGAATAACAATATCCAACGAAGTTGCGGTTGCCACTTGCACTGAATTGAGCTCTTGGTCTGCCCTTTTTCGTCGTTAAAGCAACACCGACGTCCTCTTTGGAGTTTCGTTTTGTCCCGCTTAGGGCGTTTTTTACAACCGGCCAAATAGTAACTATTTCTATTTTTTATTCTCAAAATTATTTTTGGAACAGAAATTCATTTGGTAAATTTTTTGTTCCCGGACACGAATTTGCAAAAATTTGTTCCCAAAATCAATTTTGGAATAAAATTAAGAAACAAAAAAAAAGTTGCTTTCTGATTCTCGAAACAAGAATCAGAAATGGAAAATAATTTTTTTTTTCTTCATCTTCTTGACTTGTGGCCGGCTGCCAGCGACCGACCACAGGCTAGGGCCGACGAGGGCTATAGCCTGCGAGCCGCCCTCACCGAATCTGGCGAGGGCAGCGGTGAGGGTCCAACCCTCGCTGGCGAGGGCAGCACTCACCCAAGCTGCGAGCCGTCCTCACCGAATCTGGCGACGGCAACGGTGAGGGTCCAACCCTCGCCTGTTCCGGTGAGGGCGTGAGGGCCGCGACGCCCTCGCCGGTCCTGGACTTTGACTGGTCGCCGACGCCGGCGACCTGGCCATGGCCAAGGAAGGGAAAGAAAAAGAAAAAGAAAAAATTATTATTAAAATATTATTAATAAAAAGAAATTTTGTGCGGTTACCAAACGCATTTATATTCTTTTTATATTCCAAGAATAAAAATTTTGGGCAATTACCAAATACCTTCAAATGCTTAGAAATTATTTCCGAACACAAAATAAAAAAAAATTATTTTTTAACAAAAATTATTTTCGAGAACAGAATGATTGCGACAAACGCACCTTTAATCGCAACGCATCGTCCATCGCCACCCACCTTTTTCACTTTATTCAATAATATGGTGGAAAAGAGAAGCAAAAGCCAAGCACGCCTCTTGACAAAGATATAAATTAACTACTTTGTCGTTTTGATTTGCTTTTTTGTTTGAAAGTTTATAAATAAGAAGGGAAAGCATAAGATTTTACACTACCAAAGTTGAATTCCTCTCTCAAATTACCCCGGCTTTCGAATTAGTAGCGGATCAACACTGAACAGAAAAATGGAAGATTAGCAGCCTTCAGTTCGAATGAACAAAATGAGAAGATAATTCCAATAGGAACAGAATCTGAACTGCACGTCTCACTTCTCCCTAACCTCAAAGCTAGCGATAATCTGGCGACCCGACATAAGTTGGCAGCAAAAGAAGGAATCTACCGATGCAAGTAGCGCTACCTCGACAGCATTCAAGTCTGTTGTACCAGGTTTAAAGTTCTCCCCGTGTCTTGGATTTATGTTGTTCCTCCTATTGAAAACACAGGCTGCCATCGAGTTTTTAACTGTCCAGTGCACCGAGTGCTTTCATGTCCTCCAAGAAAGCCATGTACGAGTCATCAATGCTCTTTGGAGCGGTGGAAGATGAACTAACAACCTCTGGCTTCACAACTGTAGGAGTTGCAGGTCGCGGGGCCGCTACTGTCGTTGAGACTGCTGGCTTCGGTTTTGATTTTGCAACCACAGACTCTCGCCTCACGCGAACAGATGCAGGAACCTGTTGCCACATGAATATGCTCAGCTAAAACTACCAAGTACTGAAAATGACACCTAAGGCCAGAAAGGAAGATGCAATGATAGCAGTGAGCAAATGGAGAATGGACTCACCATGGCCGTAAGTTCTGGCGTATGCTGAGCAAGTGGCCTCTTGACAACAGTGGGGGCTGCCGACTTCACATATGATGGCTTCGGGGGTACAGGTGGCCTAATAGCAGCGAGTTCATCTTCTAGCAGAGCGGGTGGTGGACCAGGTGGAAGCGGGGGCCTCATCATCGGAGGGGCTCCGGGTGGAGGGCCATATGGTGGCCTTGGAAGCAAGGGAACCATCATTCCTGGTGGGACCCCTTGGTTGGGAAGCCCGGCAGCAGATAATGGTGGTCGCATATCTGGTGGAGGTGGCGGCGGCCGGAAACGTGACATGCCAGGTGGTAACACATCAGGCTGCATGGTTGGGATCATACCAGGTCTAGGCACTGGCTGTTGTTGCCTTGGAGGAGGTGGTGGTGGTGGGACCAAGTTAGTGACATCCTTGTTGTCGGAAGGATTACTGGCTTCATATTCAGGTGAGCCCTCAGACAGATTACCTGCAGACTTCGGTGGCAATCCTGGAGGAGGCGGTGGTAATGGAAGCATGGCAGATACCTTCAGTTGAAAGAAAGGAGGACAGGTAAACATTAAATTCCATTTACATATATCACTAAAGCCAGCGAGTAATAGCAAGAACATTCAAGTTAAGAGTAAAGACTTGCGCATACTAGTATTTACATATTACTTCTAAACTTCAGCTTTTGATATCCATCAATTTCATATTTAAGACTTCAGCACACTAGTCTATCTCACTATTGCAGTTGATACTACACATGTATAGGAAGAGTTTACCTGAGCATCCTCAGGTCCCTGGCGATCTGCTGACAATGTAGATAAAATTCTATCATTTAACCCAGGAGGAGGTGGCTGAGCAGATTGTTGCGGAGGTGGAGGCAGTGGAGGTAAAGGGCCAGTTGTGACAGGTTCTTTAGGTGGTGGACCAGGAGGAGGAGGGGGACCTGGAGGTGGTGGAGGCAAAGGAGTACTGACATTGGTGGCAGCAGGCCTTGGTGGCAATGGAGGAGGAGGAGGTAGAGGCAAAGATGCGGCTAAGGCAGGGGCATCACCAGAGGCCAATGGCAGAGGAGGAGGAGGAGGAGGTGGAGGAGGGGGCGGAACTGCAGAAGGATCATCCTCTGCGCCTGAATTAGATGATGATGCACCTGCAGAAGTGCCTGCAGAAGCAGCAGATAATGGAATTCTAGGTCCTGCAGCACAAAGTTGATAACTCAGAAAAATGACAAGAGAGCATGTAAAAGCAAAGAATAAGAAAAAAAAAATTACCTATTGATGATTTAAACATTGGAGGCTTCCCAGGTGGTGGGGCTCCTGTGGGATTGAGAGTAGGATGGTAGTATACTGAATCCTGCACCAAAAATGGAGATCATGTCAGGGATGTAAATAGAAAAAGGATCTAAAGTTTGAAATTACTTATGAATTACCTCAGGCTTGGGATGCTTGACTCTCTCTTCATCTGCACTTGCCCTTCTTCGAGGGGGTCCCAGATGGCTGCAAATCCAAAAAACTCACTATTTCTAGAGAAGGCATTTCTCAATACACAAAAATAAAGACTAAAAACAATATGAATGTGCAAATTAAACAAAGAAATACAGCCTACCTAAACATGACAGGGGTTTCACCCTTTTCACGCATCTTCTCTTCGTATTCCTGTACAATAACACAAAACAGCCCGCTCATTACTGGTGGCCAGATTAGGTTAGTTGACACTCTCTGTTCCATTTTAAAGATGGTACAGTAAAAGAATATTGTGCAAAGAGAAGATAGTCCGATGGAGAGAACATTCTGAAAAGAAAAGAAACACTCAACCATCTGATTACATTTCAAAGAACTTCACGCATCAATAATGCATTTTACATTAAACAAAGGGTGAAGAATGCTCCAATTAGATTGTCCCATTTCTTCATCAACTTTTAAATTCACCCAATCAGGAAAGGGGGCAAAAATGTATGTGAACAATTCTTAAGCAGCACCATTCAAACATCAACATTGTCAAATCAATATCTTCATCCTCTGCTATGTATTTGACGGGAAAAAGGTGCTGCCAAGTACTAATTTAATTGAAAATGAAAGAATTATTCAAAATACCACCCATTAAAGGCATCATCATCTTCTCAAACAGATAGTTAGCAATATTTTTATGTTACCCCTTGTGACAGCTAAATCACCTCTCCGAACAACAATCGTCTAGCCAATCATCCAATTAGCTTGGAGATATGCGAAAAATAGGAATCCTTCCCTCAGAGCTGATTAAATTGATAGTTAAAAAGGGATTACCCAGAGACTCAGAAGCCAGATTCATACCAAGGACCACAAGAACTATATCACAAGCTGTCCATCAGTCTTGTCTATTATCCTGTAAATAACACGACACTCTCAAGTTCTAATGTTTACAAAGCCGAATATAAGAAACTGAAATATAAAATCGACTTTTTCAGAGTAAGGCCACACCTGCTTTTCCTTCTGCCAGAATGTCTCAATTTTATCGTATTTTTATCAAGCATGTGCTGTTTTAGTTGGAGATTTATAAAGTTCTCATTTTCATTAAATCTTAGTCTATCAAATCTTGATGTTAACTAAGAACATGAGTGAAAAAATTTAGCATTTGCCAACAGACATAGAGTAAAAGTAAAGAAAGCTCACAGAAACAAACAAAAAAGGAGGTAAGGGAAGGTTAACATCATCAGCAACGCCTGTCCTGAGATCCTGTACCTCATTTCTCTACTATCCTCTACCAAAACAAACCAATTGTCAATTCATCCAGCAAAGATACAAAGGGCAGGAAGAACACGAGAGGTTCATCCCTACAAATCACGTCCTAGGCTTTTGTGTCATAGATGGAAGCAGGAAGCTACACAGAGTTGGTAGCAACCACCCCTCATTATATGCAATGCAAGCATGCTTAGCACTAACTTTAGACAAAAAGCCATAGTTTGAAGGAAAGAAAATCATTCCACATTCTCGAGCATAAATTTAAACGAAAAGATAATCATTATAAAAGTGACTGGCTAGCAAGACTTTCACTCAATCACAAGACAAAGCATCTATATGTCAATCAATGCACTAGCGTCGCTTGTGGATTTTTTTGGTGAGATAAAAATGCATTGATAGGGAACTGTTCAAGTACATCATTTACAATACAAAAACAGGAAAAAGAAATTGAAAAGACAAACCTTCTTCATAAATAAACAATAGAAGGAGGAATATTGAGTTATTTCTGTGCCACAATGAAGGATATAACTACAGAAGCATAACGTCATCCAGAATAATATCTAATCAAGTCCTGGAATTTCCTGAAATTCCTATAGACGTGATCGTTTACTTGAAAACATAGGACTTCACAATTTTAAAGAAACATGAAAGAACATAAATAAACATACCTTTCTCTTCTTTAGAACAAGATTAAGTGTGTCTTCCAGTTGTCTCTTCTTGTGCTTTCTAGCTTTATCCAGAGCACCATCAGCTTCTGCAACAACAACAAAAAAAGTGCACTTGACCTATCAGAAGAGGCTATGAAAACAAGCTGCAGCCACAAACCAGAATGAAAAAAGAATTTACATTGAAATACAAGAACAAACACAAGGATGAAATTCTACAAAGCCTGAGAGAAATGTGCAATTTGCCAAACTCTCTTCCCTCGTCAATAGAAGTGCAAAACACAAGCAAAGATTTAAGACACAGGCAAAAAAACACAAATCGAAACAGAAAGAGAGGGTAATAGAATATTGGTTGGGACATCAAGCCTATTCTGGTCCAAAAAATTAGTAGTTTGTTACAATAGTAATCACATCACACCTAATGGGCCAGCCCATCAACCCGATTTAGGATTGGGTGATCAGGCACAGCAAACACATACCATTTCAGGCCCTTGTAAAGCAAAGGCATGGAATATTGTATCGAAATTCCCCAATTTTGAGCAAGTCAAAAGATGCGATGTTGTTTACAAAATCCAAAAGATAAAAAGGAAACAAGATACAAGCAATTTGCTAAACATGCAAGAAATTCTTGCTATTTCTATATGCTGAAAACCTACATTCAAAATATCCCTCAACCAATCAAAGCACGATCAACATATAAGAAGCACATGATCTATGTTCAATATATAATCACAAACTTTTCCTCAAGGGTTGCCTCTAAGAGTGACAAATAAAACTCCAGATTGCATGTGATTAATCATCTCCCTGCAAGGAGTACTTTTCTTGCACTCTCCACACATTTTGCTTCCAACAAGAATTTGTGCTTGCCTCATTCAATACCATGTGTTTTGTTCAACAAAAAAGAACATTAGGTCTAATGAGCTTTGATGTTGTAAATTAGTAATTAATGAAAATTCTAACATTTTTTTGTAACTCTTTCTACTGAGTAATTCATTGGAAGTTTTTTATTATTTTATCTCGATATGACAATGATGTAGTTGATAACATTGAAAAGATCCCTATGTAATATAAAAACAACAATCGAGAATTTTCGAAGTGTCGTCCAGTTCCTACATAATATGAACTAAGAATTCCAAACTTATTTTGTTCAAAAGATCAAGATTCATATAAAATAGGATATAATTTGAAGAATAACCAAAATACATGTTATATTTTTACACAAATTAAAAAAATTCACGCCTGTGCAACACACGGAATGCTACTAGTATTGCCTATTACAATGCCTTCATGTCTCGGTCATCAAAACTGCACAAAAAACAAAAGTTGGAGCACGCTGAGCTAGTGACATGGCATCTTTTGCAAAGTCACCACTGTATTAATTGTCACATAGACGAAGAAGACTTCTCCACTGAAACCCCATCAGGCCATCACTATACAAAGCTCGCTACCCGTTTCTCTACGCTGTCGATGTCACTACATTCCATTTGTGATATTGTCCTTCTCTAACAGATAGGATAAGTATTTTCTTCCTTATAGAACGAATAGCATAATTACTTTTGAAGTGAGTGTGACCGGTTCTCTAGACTTACAAACTTCATCCAATAAAATGTGTCATTTGACAAGCACAATTAGATGCCAATGGACAGACACTCATTTTTACTTAAAACATAACATAGGATTACATTATTCACAATGGGTTTGCACCCCTTCTGGTGCCCTATAGAGCCAGTACTGAACTAAGTTAGGACTACATCTAAGCCCACCCACTCCCGGAAGACCAGGAAGTAGTTCATATAAGCATCGCTTCGAGAAAAATAAGCCAGAGAACGGTAACATCAAGCCAGTCACGCAAACTTCAAAGTTCTAACTACCATCTACATTCAATTCTACATTCAATCAAGGGAGAAGTTGCATTCAACAAGTAACGAGAGCATAAAGACAATCTCGATAAACCATCACATCTCGGCATCTCTAAAACTAACAAGCTTGCGAACGGAACGAGTTAGAAATCGACAAATTCCAACACTTACTCATCAACTCTAGCTTCTCAATCTGCTCCTTCAAGGTGTCGGGGTCCTTCTTCAGAATCCCCACCTCCCTCACCTTCTTCCTCTCCTTCTTGTTCTGGAACAACAAAAACCACAGACAGCAACACGAGCTCATAAAATCAGACAGAGCGATCGCCAAATACGCTAATTCTACACCGAGAATCACCCGGCGACGAGGAGCGAAAAATTCACGCGCCGGGGTGCACAATCAGCCAAAACCTAATGACATGCCATGCCAATCGCTTCGAGGCAGTGAGGAATCAAGTCCCCCCCAAAAAAAAAAAAGCTAGGGCAAAGCGAACTCCACGAACACGATAACCAAATAGACAACTCGAAAAGCGAACAGGAATCAAATCAAATCACCCGTTTCAATTCCTTCTTGCGAAGCTCCTTCCGGTACGCGTCCGTCGGGTTCATCACCTTCCCTCCCTTCGTCGTCTTCATCTCTCTCCCTTGCCGTGCGGGTTCGCGAGGGGCGATGATCGGAGCGCGCGAGAAGGGATCGATTCGACGGCGGATTCGGCTATCGGAAGAACGAACGAGCGAGCGAGCAACCACCGTCGCGGCGGCCAAAAACCACCAGACCCGAATGCGTGCAGCAGAGAGGGGCAGAGCTCACCACCGGCGGAGGAGGAGGGCCGAAAGGCACGAAAATACGCCTCTCCTCGTCGCAGCTCCGAGACGCGAATCACCGCGCGCCACGTGTCCAAAGCGACGAGATTGCCCCTTGATGTTCGGCCCGTTCCCTCGGGAGAGCTCCGTAGCTGGTGAGCGCGGGCCCAATTAAAATTCAAGGCCCAATTCGGTGATGCGGGTCGGGCCTGCGCGCGGAAGCTAGCTCGTCGCAAGATGAGACGACCAAGCCCACACGAAGGAAAATTACAAAAAAAGTTCTAAGGGCGCATGGAATCCATTCTGGAGCAGAATTTCGCTCCAGAATGCGAGAGAATAGAAATGCGTTTGTTAAAATAATTTTGGAATGCGTTAAGAAGCGATTTTGCGTTACGGAATAAAAGCGCGTTTGGTAAAACTTCATTCTTTTTTTTCTAGAATGAATTTTCTTCAGAATGAGTTTTGGCTAAAAAGAAAGCTACTTTTTGTAGCTTTCTTCCGAGAAATGCGTTCTAGCCCAAATTTATTTTACAAGAAATAAAAAATTTCAAAAAAAAAAAATCAAAAATTTCAAAATTTCACAAAATGGCAAGATACTGTGGCCATCCACTTTGAGTGAAATTTAAATTTTTGAGTCTTAAAAAAAATTAAAAAATCAAAAATTTCAAAATTTCACGAATGGCTAGAATACGCAGTGGTACCCACTTCGATGAAATTTAAATTTTTGAGGTGCCAAAAAAATAAAAAAAAAATCAAAAACTTCAAAACTTCACATAATAGCTTAGAATACGTGCCATCCACTTTGAGTGAAATTTAAATTTTTGAGGTGCCCAAAAAAAATCAAAAATTTCAAAACTTCACAAAATGGCTTAAAATACACATGTGGCCACCTCTTTAAGTGAAATTTAAATTTTTGAGGTGCCCAAAAAAAAAAAAAAATAATAAAAAAATAAAAATTTTCAAAGCTTCATGAAAATGGCTAAAATACGCGTAGCCACCACTTTGAGTGAAATTTAAATTTTTGAGGTGCCAAAAAATAAAAAAAATAAAAAATTTCAAAACTTACGAGAATGGCTTAGAATATACGTAGCCACCACTTTGAGTAAAATTTAAATTTTTGAGGTGCCCAAAAAAATAAAAAAAATAAAAAAATAAAAAAATTCAAAACTTCACAAAATGGCAGAATCTTGGCACCACTTTGAGTGAAATTTAAAATTTTTAGGTGCCAAAAAATTAAAAAAATCAAAAATTTCAAAACTTTATAGAATGGCTTATAATACATGTGGCCACCCACTTTGAGTAAAATTTAAATTTTTTTAGGTACAAAAAAATCAACAAATCAAAACAGATTTACATTAAATCAATTTCGGAACAGAATTAGATGTTTTACAAAGCAGATTTCTCCTCCACAGATCAATTTATGGAAAGAATTCAGAAATCAATTTACGGCAAGAATTTGATTTCCATTGCAATTGTGTCAATTCAGTCTTAAATCTTTTTTTTGGCCAATTCAATCCTAAGCCTTTTGCAATTGTACCAATTTAGTCCATCCGGCCACTTTTGGCCGGCCAACACTGACGTGGACGCCAACCGGCTGACATGGCAATATTTCAATAATTTTTTTTTATTTTTTTCCTTTCTCTTTTTTTTTTTCTTTCCTTCTTCCCCCTGGCCGGTCCGGCCAGGGGGAGGTTCGCCGACGAGGTGACCTTGCTGGCCACTTGGGAGGCTCGCCCTCGCGAGAGCCGGCAAGGGCGAGCCTCGCCGTCGCCGGGTGAGCCTCGCCTAGCTTTGGCGAGGGCCGGCGAAGGGCGGAGCCTCGCCATGGCTGGGCGAGCTCTGCCCTCGCCGTCGCTGGGCAAGTTCAACCTCGCCCAAATCTGGCGAGGTCGAGCTTCGCCATGGCTATGGACGAGGTCAAGCTCGCCCAGCCATGGCGAGCTCTGCCCTCGCCTCGCCCAGCAACGGCGAGGCTCGCCCTCGCCAGTGCCGATGAGGGTGAGCCTCCCCAGTGACCAACGAGGGCGAGCCTCTCGAGTGGCTGGCGAGACCTCGCCGGCCTTAGCCCCTGGCCGGTCCAACCACTGAATCGGGGGAAGAAGGAAAGGCAAAAAAAAAAAACAAAGAAAGGAAAAAAAATAAAAAAAAATTCTAGCTCCACCCTCGCCGTTGCACAGCCATGGCGAGGCTCGACCTTGCTAGATTTGGGCGAGGTTGAGCTCGCCTAGCCATGGCAAGCTCCGCCCTCGCCGGAGCTGGGTGAGGCTCGCCCTCACCAGTCCCCAGGATCGGCAAGGTCACCTCACTGGCGAGCCTCCCCCTGACTGGCCAGGGGGAAATAGGAAAGAAAAAAAAAAGAGAAAGGAAAAAAATAAAAATATATATTAAATATTGCCACGTTAGCCAGCCGACGTCCACGTCAGCGCCGACAGGCCAAAAGTGGCCGGATGGACTGAATTGGCACAATTGCAATAAGTTTAGGACTTTTTTGGTAATTTTCCCCCCACACAATCCTCGTTTGTGGGCAAATTACACTCAACGACCCGGCTCAAAAGGCCAAGACTTAGACACGCCGCTAATAATCCGACCGTATCGGTTTTAAGGGTGATCGGTTTCAAGGTGATCAGGTTTCAAAGATGAAACCTGAAATCTACCTCGTTTTCCGATCCTAGGGTCTACTCGGGAACGGGTTTCTTCTTCTTCTTCTTCTTCTTCTTTGTTTTATTTTTAAAAAAAATCAAGACAAATAGCAGTCACAACAAAATATATTGAGCAACAAATCGGTTCAAAGTAAAATATCCGTACAAAACATACAGAAATTTGGAATACCAGTTCCAACCAAAATTTGGAATCGAAAACCAGACCTCTTTCTATTGGAACCGAGAACTGAACTTGTTTCCATGATTGGTTCGGTTCGATTTTAGGGTAGACTCGAACCAGTTGCACAACTCTATTCAGTTTAACTGTATTTGAAATTAGTCAACACGGTTTTCCGTTGCCCACAAATCTCCCACATCGCGAATTCATACATTTTGAGCACATTCCAAAGAAACCTTCAAGCTAAACCGAGTAAGATTTTTAAGCAGACACAGCCAACTGCCGTCCTCGAATTAGAGCTAGCATCGGAACTTAACATTGTTAGGATTTGACGCACAATCACAAAGGAAATAGAGAGTAAAAGCGAGAAAGAGAATTTGAGACGTAAAGTTTTATTTTAGTTCACCTTTAAACTAGTGCTACGTCTAGCTAGGTAATTCACTATAATTAGCACATCGCACATCTATGCTATATCTCTCAATTACAAGAAAAAAAGAATATTTACAAGTAATAATTTGATTCAAAATAAGAAACCTATTTCTAGGAAACCTACTCCAATTAGGAATTCATTCAATTAGGAAACTTATTCAAAATAGGAAACATAATTGAATTAAGGAAGTAATCCCCATAGGAGTATGAACCACACCCCAACAAATATTAGGAATTTGCAACGTTTTGCTTAATTGTGACCTAGTCTCAAGAATTCCTTGGGAATCAAGATCTTAACCTATTCTTTTCGAGGCCATATGTCTTAAGGGTTTCATTAATTCGACCATCCCCCCACGTTTTGCAAAATACAAATCTTCCATTAGTTGGACCACGTAATGTGAAGGCATGGCATTGTATTTTAGTTGCATTAAGTCTTGAAATACGAACTCCATCGTTCACTTTAACATTCGATTTTTCCAAATTGCCCGACGAGCGACGCAATATAAGATCTCGTGTGAAATATCACAAATTGAGATTGATCGATCTTTTTCATCGAAAACCTCAAACGGGTATAATCTTATCGCGATTCTTCATGTTATAAATTGAATTAGACTCCATCCTACGTATAGCCATCCATATTTTGTACAAAATAGCTAAGTAGATCTACGCATTGCGTTGACCGTCGACCTCGTTGATGTGTGATTTACTTATTTGACTAGGCCGAGTTCGTGTGGGGAGGAGGCCAATCGCCACATCCGCTGGCGCCACGTCACCGGCTCCACACGGAAAAGGCGTGGGCAGCACGTGGACGGCCCGCGGCGGCACGCGCCTTCTCGCGCGCGCAGTACGGACACGACCAGACGAATATCAAAAGCAAGTATGACATAAGAGACATAATCCACGACCAACTGATGACGTCATATACTTGCCGGACACATTAGATCTAAATATAATATGTGCATGGATATTATATGTCCCAATTGGCAGCGGCATGAACCTTGCGTGGGGTGGACCCGATGAAAACAACTATATTAAATTAATTCGGCTTGGTTCGCCCCGGATTGAATTTATTAATTGAACAATAATTATTCGACCTAATTCCCTTCAAAACCACTTACTGTAGGTCTGATCTCAATTCTATCCTAATTTTTTTTCAGTCCAAATTTTTAATCCAAACTTTTTTCTCATAAAAAAACACAAACTTTGTGTCGGGTCTCAGTTCCGGCCGAACCTTTTGTTGTCTCATAAAGAAACACCAACTTTCAATCAGGATCTGAATATGACCCCTTGTTAAGTTTCTACCCAATGATGCGGTTAAAAATTCGATGGATCATTCCAAGTGTACTCAACGGAAACTTGATGAGGGCCAGATTTTAGTATCGACTAAAAATTGATGTTTTTACGAGACAAGCAAATTTAGGTTAGGATTAGGACATGAGTTAACATTGGTGTTTATCTCATGAAACAAAAAGAAAAAAAGTTTGAGTCAGAATTAGGACTCAACTGAAAGTTGGTGTTTATTCATGAGAAAAAAAAAATTCCATCCATAATAGAAGCTCGACCTAAAGGTTGTGTTTTTTTATGAAAAAATAAGTTCAAGCCAAAATTGAGACTCGAGTTTGTGTTTTTTTTTTTAAGGAAATGGGGCCGTAATTCTTCTCATTTTTCAAGAGAAACAAATTTGGGCTAGAATTCGGACACTAGTTAAAGTTAGTTCTTTTCACGATAGTAAAAAAGAAAAGTTTGAACCGGAATTGGGTCCCAACTGAACATTTGTCCTTTTTTCGTGGCAAAAAAGAAGGTTCGGGACATAATAAGAACTCGACTTAAAGTTGGCGCTTTTTTATGAGAAAGAAAAAAAAAGAGAGAGTTCGGGTCAGAATTGAAACTCGAGCCGGTCTTTTAGAAGCGGCCCCGTGAGCTGTCCATCGCTTGTGCGTGGCTTGATCGTTTCGTTTCGGAATTCAAACGGTCGACCGGCGGGACGATGCATGCCGTAAGATTCGAGACAAGAAGAAACGTTGGCTCCTAAGGCCGTTAGGTACGACGTTGCTGTCGCCCCCTCCGGGTCAACCGATTTTTAAAAACGTAACCGAAATTTAAAAATGCTCCCCCAAAACCTTCAAGAACGACTGGGAGTAGCTACAGAACCGAGAACTCCTCGAAACCCCGTCGATAAATTTCACGCCACATCTTCTTGTTCTTCCTCTTCTTCTACGACTCTCTCTCTCTCTCTGTATACGGACCCCCACATGTTCGATCTCACGGGACATGGGGGGCGGCAAATCTCCCGAATGCCCGGCCGGCGCCGAGGAGGAGGAGGAGGACAAGGAGGAGGCGGCTGCGCCGCAGCTCCTGCGGGAGGCCGAGGAATCTTTCTCCGGGATCCGGCTCGCGGACGCCCCGATCCTCCTGCTGGTCTACTTCCATAAGGCGTTCCGCGCAGAGCTTGCCGAGCTCCGCCGTGGCGCGGCGGTCCTCGCCGAGATGGGTCCCCAGGGTCGCCAGGAACGCCTGCGGGAGCTCCGCGGGAGGTTCGAGTTCTTGGTGCTGGCGTACGAGTACCACAGCGCTGCGGAAGATGAGGTTAGGATCAGGATCAGGCATTGTATTGTTAGGGTGTTGATTCTGTTATACATATAGTTTATTCCTTATCGTTTTAGCTTGGATGCTGAGAAAGGCAGAAGACAACAGTGCCTTTTTCAATCCTCTAAATTTTGGGCAATCTTTAGTTATTTAAGTGTCTGAGAGAAATGACCACCTGACTCGTTTTGGTGTTGTGTTAAAGAAATCGAAACTGGTACCAAAAGTAATCGCGGCGATTAGCTTAAACTCGGCTTTATAGTCGAAGATCGAGAAGAAAAATATGAGAATCTTTGTCAGGTCAAAAGGTCGTGCCTGCCTGTGACTATATAATTGGATCTCTATGCAACTTGAGCAATGAGCTTTATCAGCGATACCTTTCACAAAGAATATACAGCTTTATTCAAGGTGGGGTCTGGGAAGATAGTGGGAAGTGATTCAAAACATTAGCTCAGACAAAAGAACATCATGTCTGGAGAATTGATAGCTCTGGAAAGAGGAACAAATTGATTACTCTTACGTAGAGTGCTCTATGCTTTTCTTCTCCTTTCAATCATAGTTCAGCGTCAAAATCATAGTTGCTTTTCTAATTCACCTCGAAGGGGGAATCAACACTATCATTTTGTTGTCCACTGCATTCATGCACATCAACACAGCTTTAGTGGAGTTCTGCAGAAACTTCTGAGCTCTCGGACCATTCAAGATAAGAAAACCAATTGACTGTCGGACCACCAGAAAGGGTGCAAATTGATAATCACTTTGAAAAGGCTGAAAAAAAAATCAAATGCCTCCATTCCGTGTTAGCTGACACTTAAGTTAAACTTGTATCTGTGGTTAGTTCATAATTGGCATACTCATCAACCTTTAAAAGATGAAAGTCAAACTGGGCCATGCATTATCTTAATCTTTGCGACATGTCCTGAGCATAGGTATCTTAACTTTTAGATACTTTATTAGGTGATAACCATAATGATTCTATTACATAAAGTGGTTCTTTGCTGTTTCCTTGACAGGTTATATTTCTGGCATTAGATTCACATGTACAAAATGTGGTGTGTACATATTCACTCGAGCATAGAAGCACAGGCGAACTATTCAACTCGACCATTCTATTCTTTGATTTATTGATGGAGGATGATGATAATGAGCCCAAGCCATATCAAGAGCTCGTGCTTTCCCTCGGCACCATCCAGTCATCCATTTGCAAGCATATGCGTAAGGAAGAAAAGCAGGTAGCGATTACGATCTATCCTTTTTTATATTTTGGACGGTTGAAGAGTATAGTGATGGAAGCTACTTGAAGACGAGTAGATGCACAGTTCGTTTGTACTGTTTAGCACGTATAAGGATCTGATGATGTCAAAGCTGTTTCTTTTGCCCATTCTATGCGCAAGGAAGCTCACTTTTTAGTTGCTAGACATCGTGTCAAACTATAAGAATGAAAATGGGACTTATTGTACGAACTGATACCCTCAATATTTTTCTGAAATATTCTCTCATCGATTAACTTTGTTCTGTTTACTTTTTTCTTCTGACTTCAATTTACATGACTTTAGGTGTTTCGGCTGCTGATGCAACGATTTTCCCAGAAAGAACAGGCTTCACTTGTTTGGCAATTCCTATGCAGTGTCCCGGCCATGCTTCTAGAGAATTTACTTCCATGGATGATCTCCTTCATTTCCCCTGACGAACAGGAACAAATCATCGATTTTGTTAAGGACACGGTCCCCAAAGAAAGCCTGCTGCAGGAGGTAGGCCAATGCCAAATCTTTTTGAGGCACCACGTTCTACTTCCTGTGTTTAATAAGTTCAAACCTCTTGTGCAAAAGGTAATAATCGGCTGGATTAGGAAGAAAGATCAATCATACTTGACGGACAACATTGAAATCAGAGCAATGCATGATTTAGATGGCAGATCTGCAAGTGCGGAAAGCACTCTCGAGCAGCAGCGAATGAGTGTTGGAAAAATTCCAAAATTCTCTCTGATTGATGGTTTCAATATTTGGCACGGCGCCATTAGGAGAGATTTGGAAACAGCACTAAAGGCGCTCCATCTACTCAAAAGCTCAGGGGTGTTTTCCAATTTGTCAGCAGTACTTTTGCAGCTGAAGTTCCTTTTAGATGTGGTAGTCTTTTATAGGTACTCATACTCTACGTTATTTCTTCACATGTTCCCGTATTGAGGGCTACCTCGTTTCTGTTTTTCTATTTCCTGATTTTTTATGTTCTTTATGCGTCTTTCCAACTTGCAGCAATGCATTGCATCAAATCTACTATCATGAACTAAATGAACTAGCCAATGGCCGTGAATTTTCCTCATTTGATTGGTTTGTGTACGAGAGCCAAATTGGACGTCTTCAACAGTTGCTTCACATTGATGCGCAAGATGAGATGCTCCGATGCAATTATATAGAGCAGCTTTCCTGCGAACTGAAGTTGTTTCTAATGGAAATCAACAGATTCTTTTCTTACCAAGAGACAGAGGTACACTTTTCCAGTCCACTATGGCCCCTAAAGAGTTAAGTTGGACCAACATTTCAATGCAGAATTCTACCGAATTAGGACAATGAGGGTTGTTAATATCTTTCTAGATTAGCACATTCACATATTGCTTTTTACACCAGGGAGTTGTTTATGTTTCCGAACCATTTTCAACTAGGATATCGTCATGCAGATTATTTCAGCTTTTGTCAGGTACTTAACGTGATTAGCAAAAACTGCAGTCATGAAATGCAAATGCAGCTTCTGCACACGAGCATATGCACGTTGCCTCTTGGATGGATCAAATGTGTGATCACTTGGTTTTCGGCTCAATTATCTGTGGATGAATTGAGGTCCATTCTTCTTAACATAAAACAAGGAGACAGTACGGTTGGCAGTTCTTTCACCTTTCTACTGCACGAGTGGTTCCACATCGCTTGTTCAGGCAAGAAATCCATTGATGAATCCAGGACGGACCCACAATATTTGTTCAAAACAAGGTTGTTTACACTGCCCGAACATTTCAAGGGAGAAGCTGAGTATTCTGCTTCAACCTCACAATCGAATAATAAATCTTGCAGAGAATCTTATCCCAGGTTATTGGGAACTGATTCGGCCGCTCTGATTAAGTTGAATACATCTCACTCTGGTAGAATTGCTTGGAGCTCGTTCTTTTCTTTGAGGCCGAAGGCATCGGATAACTCTTTAAAGTTTCCAGCAGTGAAGAATGATGTCATTTCCAATATGGATCGGTGGGAGCCAGTCAATATTATCTTATTCTTCCACAAGGTTATGGAGAAAGATCTTACAAATCTTGTCCAAAAAACACTTCAACTAACGGAAGATGCCGGTTTCCTTGAAGATTTCCGTAAACGATTTGTTCTATTATGTAATTTGTATCAAATTCACAGTACTACGGAGGATGAGGTAGCTTTTCCAGCTTTAGAAGAAAAGGGCAAAGTTCAGAACATATGCTTCTCCTACACCATTGACCACAGACTCGAAGCTCAACACATTATCGATATATCGTCCATTCTGGATAAGATCTCTAAATTGCTCATTTCTTCAAATAATTCTGATTTAAGTGTGAGGCAAAGGCATCGTCATCTTTGTTTGAAGCTTCAGGATATGTGCAGGTCCATGCATAGGATAGTCTCTGATCACATCCGAAATGAGGAAATTGAAATTTGGTCGTCAGTTAGGGAATGCTTATCTGTTGCAGAACAGGAAAAGATCATAGGCTGCATGCTTGGTAGAATAAGAGCAGAGGTACTACAAGATATGATACCATGGCTTATGGAATCTTTGACACCCGAAGAACAGCAGACATTGATGTCCACATGGAGACACGTGACGAGAAACACGATGTTTGACGAGTGGTTGCTGGAATGGTGGGAGGGGGATAATGTGGAGAAGGAGGTGGAATCGGATATCTCGCCTTCAAAGACTGCAGATCCTTTAGAGATAATCTCGACGTATCTATCCAAAGACTTCCTTGAGGAACACGGGGAGAAAATTTGCAACCAAGTAGTTAACTTTCCGCAAGGGCATGCTACCATTTCCAAATCCAAGCAACTGAAAATGAGCGCAGTTGATAAAGCAAAATTGAATAGGCATAAGTCTGATGTGGAATATTCCAAGTGCACAAAACTTTCTAATGGTGATGCGGAACCAAATAAACATCTGCAAGTCAGCCAAAAGTCCGAGCACCAAGAGAATGTTTCTGCGATGAGTCAAGAAGAACTGGAAGCTGCAATTAGGAGAGTGTCCCGTGATTCTTCCTTGGACCTGCATAAGAAATCATCCATCATACAGAATCTGTTAATGAGGTTGCACTTCTGAATCATCATTACTTTTTTACTCCCACTTTTAAGCAATGACTAGACTACCCAATTAACACAGTTTTCTCTATCTTGCATGAATATCCAGTCGTTGGATTGTTGCACACCAGAAATCTAACTCGGCTGTCACTGTCTCAAGCGATGGAGAAGAAATACCCGGTCATTCTCCATCCTATCATGATCAGTTAAAGACGACTTACGGATGCAAGCACTACAAGAGGAACTGCAAGCTTCTCGCTGCATGTTGCAACCAACTCTACTCGTGCAGGCGATGCCACGATGAGGAAAACGATCATTCAGTTGACAGGTGCGTGCAATATGACATGATCCGTGAGCATCTTCTTCTCTCATAGTTTTAGGTTCTAACTTTAGTACTCGGCACTTTGGCTGATCTTTTGATGTGATACAGGAAATCCATAACCAAAATGATGTGCATGAAATGTTTAACGATTCAGCCAATTGGAACCACATGCTCAACAGCTTCATGTGATAATTTAGTGATGGCCAAATACTATTGCAGAATCTGTAACATATATGACGATGAAAGGTGAGAGAACGTCTCTTAGCAACTATAGTTGTTGGTGGGAACAGCCCTCAATGCCATAACATGCAGTATGTCCTGCTCTTTCCTTTAACGGGGAAACAAGTTACATTGATTACCTGCCACTAGTTGTGCATATTTGTTACTGCAAATATATTCCTGCTCTAATTTTCTTCAAATTCTCTTGCTATATAGAGAAGTGTCACAACTCACAGATTTTTACTTAACAGAATAACATGACCCATTTTTATATGCATTAATTCTCGCTTTGTTGGATTACTCGGTAAGATAAGAGTTTGTTGGCTAAGGCTTAAAGATGGAAGTTATTTCACAGGGAAATCTATCACTGCCCTTACTGTAACTTGTGTCGCGTGGGAAAGGGATTGGGCATTGACTACTTCCATTGCATGAACTGCAATGCTTGCATGTCGCACTCCCTTTCAGTTCACAAATGCAGACAGAAATGCTTAGAAGAGAATTGCCCTATTTGCCACGAGTACATTTTTACATCGAACTCTCCAGTAAAGGCCCTCCCCTGTGGCCACTTGATGCACTCGGCATGTTTCCAGGTATGCATTTCTTCTTTGTCACTGGTCTTCATGTCTCTCCATACAAATATTTCACTTTAGATTGACGATTCTCGTTCTGCTTCCAGGAGTATACCTGTACTCACTATACTTGTCCGATTTGTAGCAAGTCTCTAGGAGACATGCAGGTTAGTTGCCCGATATTCTGATGTGCTCTTTCTCTCTCTCGCATTAGCAGGAATGAGCCTTCTGTTGTTCTCTAAGATCCTTTGACATATTGATTATACTTCCTTTCTTAATGTACAAGGTTGTTATTCTTGATTGGCATGACGCCGTCATTGTTGGTCGACAAAATGAAATGCGAAAAGGAGTTTACAAGAACCGAGCATACACGGGATTTATTTGATAAATATTAGATTTCAACATCGTGCAGGTTTATTTTCAAATGCTGGATACACTCTTGGCCGAGGAGCAAATGCCAGATGAGTATTCTAGCAAGACCCAGGTTGATGTAGCTTAATGCTTTAGTTCGCTTCTTCTCTTGTGAGTCCTTACTTACATCGAAAATGACAGAAAACGTATTAACAGGTTATTCTCTGCAACGACTGCGAGAAGAGAGGAAGCGCATCTTTTCATTGGTTTTATCACAAGTGCCCTCATTGCGGTTCATATAACACAAGGCTGCTTTGACTCCAACCTAAGACGCATACATATCAGATAACTCTCCTTGACATTCAGATAGCGCAAAAAACAATTCTGCATTTTGCCTGACGTAGAAAACTATCTCCATCTCCTGAGGAGGGAAATGGAAGAAGCAAGAGTTTGCGATCCGTCAACATGGGGGAATTGGGCTATGTTCGAGTAATGTTGCTTGTTTTTCTTGTTTAAGTGGGTTTAGGTTCGCATGAGTTTCTCCATGTATCTGCTTCACATGATGCAGAAAAATCCAGTGTTTGAGGAAATAGAAAGTTCACCTTTTCATAGTGGGAAAAGATGAAATGGGTGGGAAGAGCTTCTGGTGTGCCAACATTGCAACAAGTTAAGTCACAAATGTTTGTGCCAAGTGCAGTAATGTTATACAGTACGACGGCAGTGCCATAGAAGCTCCCGGCCTTAGATATCTCTGAAATGATCGGTAGGATTTTCATCCAATAACTGGTCCTGCTTGAGCTTTCTTAAAGTAGTTAAAAAGGGACTCAAAAGAACAACAACAACAATCAATGAGCTCAACGACTTGATTTGTATTGTACATTCCACAGATGCTTTTGCAGTTGTTTAGAGACAAACCATCGCAGAGATTATCCGATCTCATCATGCGTCACTGGCTTCGTTCATAACAATTGACCATGGTACGATAATTTTAGGCATCAAGCAGCAAAGTATGTCGTGTCTATCATATGCATACAGAGTGACTATACGATGTTCGGAATTTCTTAATAGGAAAAAGGAGAAGTCGGAAAAGTCGGGAACTGCAGTAACAAAACTAATGAACCGAAAAAAAAAGGGTAGACCCTTTGAGTGTTGTCCGATCAGTTGACACTGGTGAGGCTGAAGCACGCTGCGGCGCTCTTCAATTCGTTCTTGCCGGCATGCTCGATGGATTGCCTCGTATCCTTCAATGACGATTCCGAGCTGCATAAGCGGTTAAACTCTTTACTTCTTCAATGAAGAGAAACAAGAAAAGGTAAATAGCATTGAAGTATGATGAGGGCGTTCAAGCATTTTGCTGTTACTGTATTAGATTCGACGAGACTCCTAGCTGTTACGTGAAAGAAGAGTCGTACCTTGAGTCGCATGCCTCTTTGGAATCCATATAAGACTGTGCATCGTCAATGGTGTCGAAGAAAGGTTGGAGTTCATTGTAGTCTTGGACTATTTCTTGCTGCACGCCCATCGGCTGCGACGCAGCCATCTGAATTGTGTTGCTGTTGTCGTAATTCGCGTATTGATTTTGCATCCACAAGGCATTCTCGACATTGTCCTTGGGAACCATGTCACTGGAGTTGTCGTAACCAGCGACGCCTCCATTGTCGCCGCAGTGATTCTGCGGAGCGGGCAAGGCGGCCACGGCGCTGTACTGCTGCTGCGGGTGGTGGAACAGAGGAAGCGCGCCGTTTGGCGGGGCCATGCCTAACTCCAACTGAGAAGGCACGTCTTCGGGGACAGGAGAGATCTGGTTCTGTTGCCTGTACATCTCCAGCTGCTCGTAAATGGCGTGGAGCTCTTCCTTGGCCTGCTGTATCTGGTAGTGTAGGCTCTGGATGAGGCCGTAGCAACCGTGCACGGGGTACCAATCGCGCATGTTCGCTTGGTCGATGATGGATCTCATGGCGATGTGCTTCTGGCTAGGATGCAGGCCTTTCAGTATCTTCAGGACGTTGCTCACGCCGAACAGTTTGTGCACGTTCCGGAAGATCTCCGGTTGGTCAGCCGGGAAGAAAGGAGCTAGAGGGCAGTCCGGTTTGCACTTCCTCCTCTGGTACTTGCACGCCGCGCATGCCTGGCTCGCGCCACCCTTCAGGGTCATTTCCCTTCCTTTTTTACTACCTCTCCGACACTAAGGGAACTTCTCGGGAAGCGAAGCGGGGATGGACGGGAGTTGCTAGAATTTATCGATAGGGCGCTCAGAGAGAAGAAGGGGAAGGTGTGGGAGGAAGTTGGAGACTGATATAGCGAAGGAAGCATGGTGTGAATGAGTCTGAAGAGAGACTGAGTAAAAGGCGAGGCCGATTTCGACGGACGTGTTTCCTGAAGTTTTCTTGTTGGAGAGTTTCAGAAGAGAGTCCTATTCTCTTGGAAGATCACTACACATGTCAGCCCGAGTTTAGAAAAACGCATGAAGTTTTGTGTGGTCGAGAATGTCTCGCCGCCCTAGGATTGCACAAACGCAATCGTTACAGCGATTCAAAACATATGTTTGTTGTAGATGTCAACCTCTCATTGTAATCGAGCTCAACATGGCATTGGAGAAGAAGAATGCATATGTTTTACATTGTCGACCGGAGTCGACACCTGAAATTTACCTGTTACATAAAAAAAAGAAAATGACATAAATGATCCCTAAACTTTGGCCCTATATGTAATATGGTTCATGAACTTTAAATTTATTCAATGTGATTCCTAAACTTTAGCTCAATATTCAATGTGGTCTCTGAACTTTCAATTTGTTCAATATGGTATCTAAACGATCAATTTATTCAATGTAGTCCCTAAACTTGATACATGTTCAATTTAGTCATTGGACTATAATTTGTTGCTTATCTTAAATTAATGGAATGACAACATTAAACAATTTCATATAGTTCAAGGACTACGTTGACAAAGTACCAAAAAATCCAAGGACCACATTACACATTTGGCCAAAGTTCAAGAACTATTTGTTTCATTATCCCTACGGAAAAAAGTCATTGTCTAACCTGGCCTAAACCTAATGCCGCAATTTTACCGGGGCGGCTTATTATACCATCGCAACCAATGAAGCAACAGAACAAACACTCTCAAATGGGATTCCTTTCACTAGACGTAAAACCGACATCCAGTACCGACATCCGGTTCAGTTCATGGACGGCGTGCCTCGGAAATTGCCATCCATGTAACAGAACCAAGTATACATTAATCTGTAGAAATCACAAGGACTTGACTCTGTACAGAATTCCGACGTAACAGAAAAAGCTATTTTTATTTTCCCCGTCAAATAATTTCATGACATACAAGAATACCTTTTCGCAGTCATAGACGTCGAAGGCCACGGGCCATGCTGTGACTTATACACAATTTAAACTTGGGGAAAATACTCTCATATAAGCATATGTAGAGAGCTTTTGAACCTAGAATAATTATCAGCTATAACAACTGGTGTATACGCCTGCCAACGCCTGGATGTACCACTTCCCGAGATGCCGTCGTGATAGGCTCCCAAATATACATGGGCAGACAAACTCGTACCTACAGTCTTTATCCTCGGCAAACCCACCTTATTGGATTGTCAAGCAAGCTTTAGGATCGGACCCTACTTCTCAATAAATCTTGTCGAAGAACACGGCTTCCTCCAACCTCTAATTTCCTGGAAGACCAAAATTTCAATACATTGTTCCTCCTCTAGGGAGTACCCAGTGCTCCAAAGCAAAATCCAATGTTATCGTCAAAACTTCTCATTTTACACCAAACTTCACTTCGTATGAAGTCTTCTCTCAACTTCTTTCTAAAATGCTGGCGACACGTAATCGTTATCTGAACAGCAAGAGCTTTGATATATCCCGGTATGAACAGTTTCTCACAATTCGAAACCAGCGAAGCTCCCCTAACATAGATGTTTGAGTTGTCCAGCGCCCGCAAAAGTATGGAGAGGAAAATTAATCAATCTATTTCACAGCTTCAAAAAACAAAACCTGAGGTTGCAAATGTCCCCTCTCGCACATTGTGAGAACATCTGCCCAGCTACCAATTACCTATGCAATCAAATACAGATATCAACATCTTTCTTGGGAAAGAAAACAAAAGATGCCCAAGCTGTAAATTTAAAAGGTATAATATTTTGCCAATTGTGCAAAAACAATCTCATGATTGAGATGAAATGTTAAACTTACTTTGACGGTTTTATCATCATACATGATCCACTTTTCATGTTCATAACTATAGGCAAAGCAATGGTAATGTTGCCCATAGTAGCAAACCTACGTACAAAATGAGAAGAAAAAACCCCCAGTTACAGAGAGAAGAGAATGAGAAAATCTGTGTACATTATCATAACACCGGAAAATATCTGAGGACAAACTAATGCTACCATCAAGCAGCGACTATACAATAATAACAGCTACAATGGCATGGAGATTGTACGAGCACACAAGACTATCTCATTAGGTAATGACCTCAAGCTTCTCCGCCAATAACTACTAATTAGTCAGTCATATGCCAGTATTGCCCTCAAAGTTTCAAGCATGTAGATTTGGACACTAGCATCGCATAAAGTGATTAGTATGGGAAGGGGAAAGTGTGATGCAAAAAGCATTTCCAAAGGTAAAGGCGTTTTCCACTCTACAAAACCTCACTTGGTTTACATTCACAGCGTTTTCTACTTAAAAGGAAAGGAAAACACCATCAGTGGGCAGCCCATACCGAGAAGAGGATTACTCCTATGTTCTTTTGTTTTGTTCTTTTTCTTTTTTCTGAAAGTTGGATTACTCTAAGCTCATGTGTAGGGTCTTGAGGCAAAAACCCTACTGCATACCAATGGAAGCAAGTAACGTAATCTCACAAGCAGGATCTTAGGGGAAAAACATATCGAGGATAACAAATATACGTACCACTGAAACCAAGTTATGCATATGCTTAGGATCAAGACCACGATAGAGGACGCTGATATCTATCTCAGTACTGAGGGCTGACAATGTTGCTGCTATGTCATCAGCACTCTCGCATGTGTTCTGCCAACCTACAACTGCAACACGAAATCAAATATATATATGCGCAATCAATTCCGATAAAAAAGGATGCTTTGACCTCAGCTGCCAAGAATTACCTGTAGTGAAAACATGGGGTGCAGTAGACAGGAAATGATGTATGTGATTGAGCTTCCCACAGCCACCAGACACTGGATCACAAGCTAACTGATGGTTCATCTCCACAAGATTTAAAAGCTCATCGAATGAGCTCTCCGCAGACATGACCTGATAGATATGGGGGAAGAGGATTAGCAAAGTAAAATTTATTTGAAAAAATGATTGACTCTCATCATTAACCTTAGAAAGTGGCCAGTGAAGAAAATCACTAATTCCAATAAGACATACCTTCATTGTTCTGAGGGCATTGGCATTAATATTATGAAAGAACGAAGTATAATTTGAGTGTCTGGATTCCGTTCCGCAATTGTAGCAATTCATTCGCTCAAAGATATCCATTCCAAAGAGAGAGTGTACAATAGAAGATTTACAATCCCGAGATCCTCTAGAATTACTCTCCTTGGATTTATCATCAGAAACACTTGAACAATACGTAAATGACCGGTCAAGGCATTCAAAAATTACTCCCAAGACTTCAGAAGCATCATTCATCTGAGCCTGTTTCATTGCTTTAATCTGTCAGAGTTCCTCCAATCTCCCATTTAAAACAACCATAAAATAGAAGGAAAGAATAAGTCTACCTCCTGGAAACAATTTTTATCCGGGTACAAGTTACTTAAAGCTATTCTCAGAGGAGTTGGAGCAATAGCTTCTTTCTGCGCATCTGCAGTTGCTGTGCTCAGAGCAGTGAAGATATCATAAAGGGCACATACAACACAAGGATCTCCCTCATGGGCGTGGTCTAGTGTAGATCTTTTCAAGAACTCATTGCGGAACTGCCTTAAATGCCACAGTGACTGAATAAATGCACAGAATAGAACAAAAAGTCAGGTTAGTGTAACCTTGGAATCATGCAGAAACAGAAGCTTGCCATAGAAGGAAATGATTAGGGTAATAAATTGCTTCCATAAAACCTACCTGTATGATTACATTCAGAAAGCAATTATATTCACCAATTTCGTTCTGCAATCCTGTACCAAACAAATCTGCCCCGTGTTTGGTTTCTATTACCACCTCACCATGTATAACACCGTCATCATCTGCAGTTCTGGATGGCTTGTGTGACCTCAGTAAACTAGAAGCCAAAGGGGACTTCTGATGTGCTTGGAATGTGTCTGAAACAGAAAGCAAAGTCAGTATTTTGCTTTTCCAAATGCAGAAGTGTGCCTTCGTGCCCACGTGCTCGTGCGTGCGTGTGTGTGAGAGAGAGAGAGAGAAAGGGAGATAACACTAATCAACATCAACCGCAAAAGAGTAATGTTCTAAGAGTGATAACCATTACACACACCTAAGAAGAAATTCTATTGCCCAAAGGAAGTTGCGTTGATGCCATTCTATCTAGCATTTCACCTATAAGACATCAAACCCCTGTCTACACTGTCTCCTAGAATAATGAGTGATGTTTTCCATGCAATCTCTTTCTCGTGAAATTGGTACTTTTTGGGTTATTCCATCTTGTCGAACTTGCTTCACTTTTCTCCCAATCGGGGCCAATTTTCCAATAAAAAAATGCCTGAATTCATACAAAGTCACGCTTGGATACAGGTCAACCTTTTTTTTGTTGGTCAAGAACATACAGGTCATATATGATACTTAGTGTTGTGTTTAAGTTTAGGGTTCAGGAAAAAAATTGTACTATCGCTCCTTGCTCTTAATGTTTAGATTACAAGTAGCCACAAAAAATTGTTATCTATCATAATCAGATTATCAGTAAATCAGATGGTCGGCAATGCAACCGACGAAAGCATGAGACATCATATTCAAAGCTAACACGGATCACCTAATGATAGCACAGAAAAGAATCTGAGCGCCCTTAAGAATAGTCGCACTTATAAGCTTTAAAAATTGCCTAGTGTTCTGCACAATTTGTGATGATGATGTATATCACCAAGAAAAAAAATGTCAATGCAATGGCAGCCAATAGGAAAACATGCTAAATTATAGTAGTCAATCAGAAAAATTGATCTCCTTACATTCAACAAAAATTGCTGATAAGTATAGTCATCAACAGACACAAAGACAAAAAAAAGAGAGGTCTTGCAAATAAACTATGAAGAAATTTACCAAGACTCTGGCTAACAGCTTTTTTAAGGTCAGCCTGAAATCTTTCTTCATCATCCTCCTCTGCTTGTAATTGTCTCAATGTCTTTGTCTGATGTCCTCCTAAAGTTGATTTTCACCATA